TATGGCAGTGCTTACCTTTCCAGCTCTAGAGAGTGCCTTCGGCGGATTCTTCCCGGGCTGGGCAGCGAGAATGCTTGGATTCCATGGCACCTCTGAAATTAGGCATCTGATGCACGCGGCTATGAGGGTCCCAAGGTTGTGTCTGCGTCATGGATGCTGTGGCGCTGCTTGTTGTGTTTGCCGTTCCATGAATCGTCGTGGACCTGGGTTCAATAATACTGGGTTGGCATGTATCCAGTAACCCAGATGGGCCCGGCGCTGCAGTGCCTAGTAATCCTTCCGCCGAAGAGCAAACGGAGAAAGGCAATTGTGGCGGTGCGTCCCATTTTGCGGTGTACTGCGAAAAGGAGCAGCACACATGGGGTACTGCACAGAGGGACAGTTGGTGTACCCCGCGGGTATTGAGACATAGGGCCCATGATAGCCAACGCCACCTATCCTTATTGTGGGTGTACGCAAGCTTCTTTTAACCTTTTGGGGGGTTAGGCCTTGATCCATTTCCGTGTCTGCGAATAAGTGTACAACGACCCCACATCAATGAGCTACGTCATGTTCGTGTTGCCTGCAGGGCTTCGTCGAGGTCTATCGGGGACCAGAGCGAAGCTATAAGGTTACGAAATTACAGCCTGGCGTACGTTATACCAGCCGCGTCCAGGTACCCTAACGTCGTTGGGGCAAGGGGGTGCAGCTTAAGTGTAACCCATCTGGGTCACCATACGGAGTGCTCTGCGGCTTTGTCTCGTGTTTGTACTGTGACTGGGAAGTGGTTCGTAATACGTCTTCATGATTGATTGTCGCTGATTGCACATGGATTCCGGTCTCTGCAGGCTGTCAACCCCCTTGGTGAAGGCCCATTTAGCCTCTGCAGCGCGTACACAACGCAGGCAACGGTCCCTGCTGCTCCAGAGCCTCCCGTAGTTCAGGCAGCTGCATCGGTAGGTCGCGCACGGACCTTCTGGGCGCGAGGATGTGCTTGGGATCACGTGTTACCCGCTGATTGTGCTTACAGAGAGATGGGGGCATACCGCCAAAGGGGAGAGCATAGCACGGATTGCGATGCGCGCAGCCTGGTTTATATCGAATCCCTCCGTTTTGTGCAGAATGCCCTTACGCTTCAGTGGACGCCGCCGCCGGACAATGGCTCGCCGATTATCGGTTATAGATTGGAGCGCGACGACGGCCCCGGTACCGAGTTCAGGCACTGTTACGTTGGCCCCAATACCTGGCACACTGTGACGAAACTGAGTCCGGGAACTGTGTACCGCTTCCGACTGCGTGCTGACAACGATGTGAGTTGACTGCAGCTAATGCTGACAGTTAGGCTAGGAAGTCTGAGTTCTTGTTGTCAGTGCCCTTCGCTTCGGCAGGTATGGCGATTAGGTTTTGGAGATTCGGCATTGCAGCGTTCATACGTGAGAGAATATGCTGCTACGAAGGCATCTATTAGCCACCCCGTTACCCTGATTGCCCCATATGTGTTCGTCAACGTCTGAACTATGCGAACAGGAGGGGCAGAGCACGTGGAGCCCGACAGCATCGCTTTTGACTGGTGCGGCTCCACCTGACAGCCCTGCGGCGCTGCAGGTGGTGACCCCGCTCACCACCTCAGCAACCCTGGCGTGGAGTCCGCCGGAAAAAGACTATGGCAGCAAGGTCGTCGCTTATGAGGTGAGCGTAGCTTGGGGCGCTGCACGCGGGATCGGGACTTGGGACCGCTGCGGAAGCTCCTGGTGTGGTCAGCCTGCGGCCGTCGCTTTTATGATTCGCTGGTTCGGCCTAATGCATGGTCGACAGGCAGACTGACGTTTACTCCCGTCTGCTGTTCATATATGCAGGTTGAGTTGCAGGCCATTTCGCGCGCGGCCGTGGCTTGCATGGGCACGGCGTGGCTGAAGATCTTTGAGGGCGAGGCGCTAGCATGCACAATCAATTCACTGTGCCCGGGCTGTGCATATTTCGTGCGGGTGCGAGCCCGAAACTCGGCCGGTTGGGGAGATTGGGCCACACCCGTGAATCTCACGACAGCGCCGGATGTGCCCGAGGCGCCGCTCTCCCTGCAGCCCACCAGCTGCTCGGAATCCACAATAGTCATCTCGTGGGCGCCCCCCCGGCATGACGGCGGTTCTAAAGTACTGCAGTATCGAATGGAGATGGCTTCAGCGGAGTGCTTATGTGGCCAATGCCCACAAATATTGGGACCGGCACTCTTGCCTCCTTTATTGCCGCATGGGCCGCTTGGGTTACAGTACTCTACATCACCTCCGCCCTCCGGCGGGCAGGGCTCCCCGACGGCATTGCCCCGGCCTGTGCTTTGCAAAGCCCAGTCCCCATTGGTTGTGTACAACCGGGAGCACGTCGGGGCGGAGCTTCGTAACCTGCAGCCGGGGTGTCGCTACATTTTTCGACTTCAAGCGGTAAACGCGCAGGGGGCCAGTCCATGGACGGAATGGGTTGCGGGCGCCACAACACCAGGCGTGCCCGGTGAACCCGCGCCGCCAGCAGTGACAGGAGTGGCCTCAGGGGCGCTTATGCTGAGCTGGCAGGTCCCCCAGGGGAGGGGAGCACCTGTGACGCACTACACGGTGGAAGTGGCGCCGTTGCCGCAGGTGCCCAACTTTGGCCCGCCTGGGCCAGCTGGTATTATAACCGACCAGCGGCTCATTGTCGGACTGTCCTTCAAGCCTTGCTACCGGGGTCCGGATACCAGCTGCGAGGTGCGAGGCCTGGAGCCCAAGAGCACCTACGCGCTCCGGTTACGCGCGCATAACGACGTCGGGCCAAGCGAATGGAGTGCTTGCGCAGCAGCTATCACTAGCCACGCACCGCCGACGTGCCCTGTATCTGTCGTTGCTCAGCCGGCCTCCTGCTGTAAAATCCTGCTCTGCTGGATGCCCCCAGAGAAGGACAACGGTGCAGCGGTCTTTTCCTACACCGTGGAAATGGCACAGGTGCCCCGTACTTCGGTGAATCGCCAGGGCGGCAGCAATTCGACATCCTGGAGTCAATTGTACTTGGGCGAAGCGTGTGCTTGCTCAGCCGACGGCCTAGCTCCTGCACGGACATATCAGTTCCGTGTGCGCGCCAGTAATGTGTGCGGCTGCGGACCCAGTTCAGCCGTCGTAACGGCAACAACCCTAGCTGCACCGCCGTCGGCGCCTGGGAAGCCGGTTGTGTTGTCACGTGCTGCAACAAATATTCGCGTCCGCTGGGATGAGCCGGAACATTCATACGGCGCAGTTGTAACCACATACAAGTTGGAGGGAGCGCCAGCGGGCACGGATGAATGGACGACTTTGTACGAAGGTTCTGAAGCGACGGTGCGAGTGCAGAACTTGCAGCCAGCGACCAAGTACCTTCTACGTGTCGCGGCCGTGAACACAGCGGGACAGGGGGATTATAGCGAATGTGAGGCGATCACGACGGCGATGATGGCGCCTATGCCACCTACGAACGTCTTGGTCTCGTCGGATTCGACCGAGGATGCCGCGGCTTCGGGCCCAGCGGAGACTGCATTTCCATCAGACGGTGCGCGGGCAGAAACTATCCCGATCGTCACGGTTACCTGGCAGGATCCACCAGCGGTAAGTCCACATGCCGCGGCTATGGGTTACGAAGTCGAGGCTCGGCCGAAACCTGGGTCCGACGTAGCGGGCGCTTCAGGTGGAGGCGTGGTTAAGGTGACGGTGGCCAGCCGGCGATGTGACACGCGCTTGGAAGGGCTCGTCCCGGGCTGCACGTACGCGGTCCGCGTGCGATCGGTGGGTGTTGAGGGTACTGGGCATAGTAGCTGGAGCGAGGAGGCTTGCGTGGCGATTCAGCCACGGCTGGATGTGGACACTGCATCGGTGTGCAGTGCGAGCGCTGCAGGCGGGGGGGCAGCAGGTGGGAACAGCATTGCTCCACGCAAAGGTGGCGCTGCGTCAAAGCGCGCTAGGCGACAACAAACACTATCAGCAACTGCCCCACCAGCGCACAGCACGGCGCCGGCGGGACCCATGGCCGCGGCTTCGGCACGGGCCCCATCAACCTCTGGAGATGAGGCGGTGGCGCCAACTGCTACACGCGCGCGGTCCAAGCCTCCGACAGGCGTGCTTGGCAAACGCGGGACTGCAACAACATCCGTGGCGTTGCCTCGGCCGCGACCAAAGAGCTGGCTGGTGCGGCTCGGCGAGTGTTCCTCCATCACGGAAAATCTGTTCAGCTGCATTTTCGGGCCAAACTGGCGGCGTGACGCAGGCAAGCAGCTTCAAGCCTGCGTCAATTACGCCATCATTATAGCGGCAGTGGTCATTTTCCTTGTGTTCATCCATTGGCATGTCTCCTCGCGGCACTAAGCATTCGCTGAGCCCCGGCGACTGAGATGATATGGTTGCTGCTTCTAGGCTTGCACTGATGGCAACGCCGTGCGCCAAGCAAGCATGCAGTTAGTCGAATAGACCTTCCAATGAGTTTCTATTGTTTTGCCTAGGGGCCGGCATGGACACTGACCTCAACTCATCCTAAGGCTCTGCACAGTTTTGTGGTATGGGGTTATAGCGCTGGAGCACCCCTCGCTGTTGAGGGTTTGGGACTTTTAAACGGTACGCTTGCAGCTAGCACAGTTTTTTGTCTGGATGGTTCGTGATATAATGCACGGCCGTGTCAGTGCCCCAGGTGTCAGACGTCGTTATGGGTGTTGGTGGCAGCGAAGGCCTGTTGGGACGTATTCGTAGTCACTGCGGTCCCTTGCCAACGGTTAGATGGCCAGAGAATTCAATCTCGCAGCCGCAAGAAGGCGCTCCTCGTGCTTGTTTTTGGAGGTCTGACGAGACTTGGATGTCTCTGACCGAACATTATTAGGAGCTTGTCTTTGTTTTGTCGCTCCATTGTTGGATGACCGCACAATTCAATGCACACGCGGCCCGTTCTTCCCTTGGCGGGTTTCGTGATTGCATTCATGTCCTCACGAATTTGCAATGTGTTGGCCCGCCATCCATTGGCGAAGGCAGGTGGTGTGCCGTGAAATGCCGAAAATGAAGCACGGCTTTCCCATACGGATAGAAAGACCGGCTTGCACAGGAGCTGGCGGACGTGTGTTATGGCTGCAGCACTTGGTATTGGCACGCCGAGAGGCTGTGATGGGTTGCAGCTAAGGGATCAACTAGTGTGCTGATGGCTTCAGTTATCCACGTTTTTGCTGGCTTTTTTGCTGATTGTGTGCCCTCGTCCGTAAATACCCAGCATTATCGACATTTACATGTGCTTGTGGTGAAGAGAGGATCACCTGTATGAAGCTGTCCTGTGGATTGTTTCTGCATACTGTTGGCCAAGTCTCGCCGTGTGCCTTTACAGTTCGTCTTGTGCAAGAATTGGTATAGTCCTGTCCAATTGGTAGAGTCGTGTCACTCCTGCATTGACAATGACCGTGTCTGCGTAAAACTTTCGTAGCGTCTTCCGTGCCGAGCCATGAGCAAGGATGGAGAGCGCTGCCGCTGAGCCGGTTAAACAGTGCTTGGTTCCGGCGGCTTCGATGCGGTGCAGCTGCAGCACATTAGGTGGCCCGGGGGGGTGCCCGCTACCAGCGCGCTGCCTTGCTTTCCGTTCGTGCAAAGTTTGCATGACAGGCGTGGGAATGTATCTCACGGGTTCACATGAGGCGCACAGATGATCATTTTCAAGAGTTTTGCATGGTGACATGTTGATGAAGCTCCGAAGGTGGTTGGTCGATATTGTATGGTCCTTTTCGCCCAAGTACCCTGAGGTGGCTTTGCTCACGGGTGAGCAGGGGAGGGACTAGTGGCCCTGTTGAACGGAAGAGCCGAGTTTAAGTCCGGAAGAGTGCAGGGAATTTATTGGCGTTAGCGTGCTTGGGCGTGGAGTTATGAAACGGGTAAAACGTTCAATGCGGCTGTTAAAACAAGAAACGTGAAGGTGCACTTGTCATAAATTTGTTTTGCGGAGCAGGGTGGAGTGCAGGTGTGATGATATTGTTACTTAGTCTTTTGTCTCACCTACTTCGCACGAAGGCGGAACATGAACGCGGCGTCGGGTGAGCGGCACGGGCGGTGGTGAAGATGGCCTGGAGTTTTGGTGCGCGCCCTCGCCATTAATTGTGTCACTTAGTGCGTATCTGCTTTCTCGTAATGCTGGAGTATTGTGTTCTCATGGGCACGTATGGACGGCATGGGCGGACGGACGCTGAGGCGGCTTCCCTCTGATGCTGGTGCAGAGGGGGATAGGTGGCGTATGGAGGCCTGTGAAGGCAACGGGAAATCTTCTAGGACCGAGGGAACTTGGTCGGCCCTCGGATTATCGATCGGCCCTGCAGAGACTTCACATTGTAAATGGGGTTTCCACCTTTACATCGCTAAGTTTAGCTACAAAGGATCCTGGCACAGTAAGCGTCCCTTTTTCAGTAGGCAGCTAATTGAGCTGGATTCCTAAATCAGTCCCGCTGCAGCGGCCAGGGCTACTAGACTAAATCTCTCTCAAAAACGCCTCGCGGCTTTGACCCAGAGTGTACACTGCGCCGCAACATTTCCCGTGCGTGCACAAGCATGTCCTCGTAGTCATCATCTCCGATAAGCCATGCAGCTCAATCGTAGGTGCAATCTAGGACAAAGGGCTGGTAGGCGGCGACGAACTCGTCCACGTTCAAACCAACCTGTACCGCCGGGGATACACGTAGCCGCATGCCGGTTGTCGGTTGACACATCTCCTCCGGAATATATAATACATATCCCGAAATAGAGCAGGCCATGTGAGTCCAGGATCCCTAAAGAACTGTATTAGGGGCCCAGCACGGCGCGTGTACATGCCTTATATGCTAACATGTAGCCAGATTGGTACTCTTCCCCGTACCCAGCCTGCCCTGTGGCGCTCTCCTTCCACAGCCCATTCATCCAACCTCACCTTTAGATCCACCTCCCCCGCCCCCAGCCAGAACTCCCTCGGCTGCAGCTTAGCGATGTGGTGGCTCATGAGGATGGGCAACCGCTCCCGCATGCAGATGGGCGTCACGGCATTGTGGCTGAAGCCCGTCAGCTGGTCGTTGACCTAGCCGGCAGGAGGGTGGAGGGAAAGGAGGGAAAGGGCGCATGGGCGGACACCAATCACCTCGAAAGACCTGACGGCCGTTATGGGGTCAACAGGCGCGCACACTGTATCAGGTGGATAATGGAGCGAGCGAGCGTCCCAATATGCCTTTCACTTTCCCTTTCCTGTCCCTCGTTGATTGCCAATGAGAGACCAAAAGCCCACGTTGCGATGGCGTCCGTACGTCAGTACTGACTAATAATCTCGCAAAATCTAGCACGCACCTACGGATGAAAGTGGACATCGACCAACATCAACACAAGAGAATAGCGCTCAGGCGCCCACTTAGTTTCCGTCCAATACATAGAAAAACCCTTGGCTTCAGTCCGCTTAGCTTGTAACGCCTACAGCCACCGCATCTCAGACCCTGTCCTCAAGTAAAAAACCACCGCCCCTCCACCTTACCCCACCCTCATAGCCACCGCTTAACAACTAAGCCCGTGGCCCATGGCCCTTTCTGGACCTGATTCTCTTTCCAGAGCTGCCTCATCACTGCTGCCACACCCAAGTCCACAGCCGGCCGGTATCGGCGAGGAAGCACCAAGCCGCCAACCTTACCTGCTGCTACCAGCCGCCTTGGGGCCCCCCCTAGCCACCAGTCCGGCCCCCGGCACTGCCCCCCGTTCGCGCTCAGAGGATCCGCGAACTTTCCCCATGGCCGCCCCGCCCGCGTCCCCGTCCCGTCCCCGTCCATCAGGCCTCACCTCCTCCGCTGCCAGCCGCATATTGTAGTACTGACGTCCGAACTTGCGGCCGCCCAGCTCCTGCACCCCCACCTTGAGCTTGTCCGCATGCAGCCGGGCGGTGTACTGCGAAAGCCAGTCCCAGGGAGCCCGGGACGCGGCGCACGGAAGGAGTGCAGCGTATGGACAACACGCTGAGAAAGAAAAGCTGTACGGAGCGCTTGGTTACGGCAAAGCGCTTTAGGGCACGATAGAACAACGGACGAGCTTGCGAGGTTGAGCTTGGACTTATCATTCCCTTCCTCAATCCTCACCGTCACCCTTATGCCGATTCCTCACCCCAGCGCACTACACCTGCACGATGACGCAATAGTACTTGGAGTTACGCGGGTCCTCCCAGCCCTTCACCGACTCATGTGCGCGGGTGTTCTCCATGACGATACTCTTGCACAGATGGTTGATGGAGGCCGCCCCCAGGCAGCTCTGACGGAACTCCAGGGGCTGATCGTAATAGTCAGCTGGCACGCGGACGAAGCTGAAGGAGGAGAAGTTGCGGTCGATGAGCTCCTGTTCTAGCTGCTGCTGTGTGGGACTTGCATCGGGGGTGACGGTGAGACGCGGCCGCTGCGGCGGGGGGGAGGCACCGGTGGCTACCGCAGCCGAAGATGGCAGCTAGCGCAGGCGGGGTTGGGTGAAATAGGGGGTTCGGGAAATCAATTGGAAAGGTGGGGCATATGGAAAAATGGGACCCCGGGGATGGAAGACAGTCGAGTACTTTGACAGGGTGAAAGTTGTGCGTGCTGCTCATGCGTGGTGCGATTTGAGGGCTATGTCAAGAGGGATATAGCTTGGAATTGGGGGCGCCTGGCGGGGATGCAAGCTACGTGATTGGGAGGGCCGCAGGCTTTCAGCCCCCGAGGCACATACCGTTAAGACAGACAGATCCAGTCCAAGTGCATGAGCAAGCTTGTCAATCCGCTGAAGTATCCCCAGCTGGAGCTCGCCGAGTTTATGCACAGCGAGCGCAGTCCTAACGGCTGGATGCTGCTCCAAGCTACACAAACGGGAAGAGATGGCATCATAACGTGCTTTTAAAGATTCGGCATCAGCCATTTTAATATGGTAATATTACTATTAGCTCTCGTATGACTGGCCCGAACACCGAATGTAAAGCGGTGACGCCGTACATCGACCGGCATTTTTTTATGTGCGACATGCAAGCGAGACGGTTATCTAACATGGTAGCTAAGTAGTTTGAATTTCGTCCATTTTGCATAAAAATGTCGGATTGGGTCCCACTTGACGAAAGAGAACTCCTCCAAGAGGACGATGAAACCAAGGCTTATCGCAACAACTCCTCCCCACAACAGCCGGTATGATGAAAATATGTAAATGTGTCGCTATGATTAGGAATTATTATTATTATCATGTGAGAGGCATGCGTGTCCGGCGCCCGACGACAGGCAATTTTGCGACTGGGACCATTGTAGTTCCTTAACGCTTGCCCTGCTCAGACACCTGCACCGTTAGCTGTATGAAGGGCATATTTCAGATAAATAAATCTTGGGCATTCGCCGTAATGCTCCATTACTCAGTACCATGCGAACACCTCCCATGTTAACCCACAACTGATCAGCGCTAGAAGCTTTATTGCAAGACCTTATCCAGCTAACTTGTATCGCTTACAAAGAACTAGCCATCCGAAGTGTGAATCCCTAGCTAAGTATTCAACCTTACGCCCTCGTTGTATCAACCCTCCGTGCCATAGGGCCCTCCTGGCGTTGGCTTCGGTGAGCCCGACGCCAACTTGGAATTCACGGATGCCGCGGCAGCTCATGCCAGCTCTGGTAGCGCCCCTCGGCGTGAGATTACCCGTGAAATGATCATCCGTGCGCTGGAGAAGCAGGGTAATCGACGGCGGCCTGGTGCCGGAGTGGACGACCCCTATGCGGAAGAGCGTTTTCTGGCGGCACAGTCCCACCTGCACCTAAACGGCCGTGGCATCACTCGCATTGCCAGCCTACGGCCAATGACCACCTTGGAGGTCAGTTACTGGGGCGATGGCCTGGTACGCCTCCATACGCTGCGCAGGCCTCCAATACATGCAGTCGGTAGCTTGTCGTGCCGGGAAGGAACTGGCTGTGGCCAATTGTTATGCCCTCGCGTCCTTCTGTGCCTTCATGACCGGCCTCGCGTACCGTCTCTAATAAAGCCCCTCTCGTTGCGGTGGAAGGGGACTAAGCACGTGATCGTCGATACCCCTTCTATCACCACCTGCATGGTGGTTCTGCTGTCCAGGGCAGCGTAGCACCCGCTTGGAGCCCCTGCCTTCCCCCCTTCAATTGTGTGTGGTTCGTCTTTCCCCCTTTTCATCTGCTGCTACTGCGCTCCAACCAGTACTGCTGGCACCCTGAACCCCGTCACTGCTACGGGCCCACGCGATTTCGCTGCCGCACAGCGGCCGCCCAAGCAGCATCGCTTGGCAAGCCACACTCAAACAGCCTTCGCGCCAGAACAGCTTGCGCTTGTTTTCCCCCTGTCCTCAAGCTCGGCACAACCCACAACCCACATCCCGCTCAACCCGATCCAGTTCTCCGGTGCAATGTAAAAGTTTTTACAATTGCAGCTGAGGCGCGCCCTTGTCTTATCCAGCTTAGCACAGTTGTTCTAGTGATCTGAGCCGCGAGAAGGAAACGGCGCGGGTGACCGCCTGCTGTACGTATACGCACAGCCCTGAGCCCATCGCAGTGGTACCGGTTCTGACCCAGAACGGGCGCGTATAAGCAGCAGGTGGTCGACAGCGTTCCAAGGCGAGTGTCCCATGATGTCAGGTGGAGGCAATGGAAGCGCACCCAGGCAGCTCGCAGAAGCGCACCCACATGCATGCGGAGCAGGCCCTCGTGCGGTCCACCGCCGGTGTGTTTTCCGCACATCGGGACTTGCGTCTCCTTCTTCAGCTCCTTGCATGTGCTATAGCGGATTGGAAGGTTTGGGCGCCAGTAGCCGTCGTAATCACAGCCACAGCAGCAGCGTCACGCTGGCGGGTAACCGATACACCCACACCTCACCCGCACACAAGTCATCAGCACCACCCTCTCTTTGATTCGGCCGCTCCTTTATAACACGTTCCGTGCCGCCCCGACCAACTCCCCACCCGGCTCCACAATGCGCGTCTGTGCACCCCCTTGCGGCGATTTGGTCTCGCTTCCCTCCTGCGCTGCGAGTCCTCTGTGCGTGCAACCTGATACCCTGCGCTGCCGCTGCAAGCCTCCCTGTCGCTCATCCCGGTGCGGTTTGTATTCCATCAGGTACTGTACTTATACGACAACCAAATCAGCGTCATTGAGAACGTGTCTCACCTGCGCCGCTTGACGCACCTCTACCTGGCCAACAACTGCGTTCGGGAAATCAGCGGGCTGGCGGGGCTCAGCAGCCTTCAGAAGCTCTACATAGAGGACAACTGCGTGCAGGTATCAGGGGAAGATTGTCGGGTGTAAGGAAGAAACCGCTTGACGCCAGGACCGGGGGAGGGGGTGCGTGTAGGAGGGGGGAGGGTTGAGAGGAGGGTGCGGGCTAGGGGGAATGGCAGTATGAAGCGGGTTGGGGCCGGAGCTGGCGAGAACATTGGTGGGCTGATGGGCTGGGGGGCTGACAGGATGGTCGAAATGATACAAAGGGCAGAAGGAGGTCAGGGGGCAGGCAGTATGCCCTGCGCCTCCCCATTCCGTCCCAGCGTGCCGCGCTCATTCTCCTTCCCCAGCTCGTTCCAGCTCTTCTTCCACTTCCGCACATTACAAGTTACCAACCCATCCCCCGAGAGCCTCAACCCCCCCCCTTGCGCCCCCGAGCTACGGGGGGTCCACCCGTCTTTCCTAAGCCCAAACCGCTCCTTCATCCCACCCATCACTTCCGCCCCCTCTCCTTTCAATTTCCACGCGCAGGTGGTTTCGGGGCTAGAGGCCTGTCCTTCCCTGGAGGAGCTCCACGTCTCTTCACAACGTCTTCCCCCCGGTACCCCCCTCACCTTTGACCCGGCCACCGTAGCTGCACTAGCACCCAGCTTGCGTGTGTTGACCGCCGCGCACTGCGGCATCACCGCCGCATCCCTGCATCAGCTAGAGGGGCTGACCCGCCTGCGTCGCCTGGACCTGTCGCACAACACCATAGACGCTTTCGAGCCAATTGACGCTGTCATACAGCCGTGTGCCGTACTGTCCTCCCTGGACCTACGGGGCAATCCGGTGTGTAAGCTGCCCAAGTACCGGGACACGGTCATCCTCATGAACGACAGTGTGTCGACGCTGGATGATGAGGCGGTGAGAATGGGAGGAAGGGGAGAGGGGAAAGAGGGGAGGCAGGGGAGAAGGGAAAGAGGGTGGAAGGGGAGAAGGGAAAGAGGGGAGGAAGGGGAGAAGGGGAAGGGGCAGGAAGAAGGGGAGAGGTCTTGGAGGGGGAGGAGGGGGCTCCGATGAGATGTTTGACCCGAGGTGAACGACCCGGGGAAGAGACGTCGTTGATTCTCCACCACTAGCTGACCTCCTTCCCGCTGTGGGGCTTTTACCCCAATTTTTGTCCTCATCCTCATCCTCATCCTCATCCTCATCTTCACGGCCACCACCTCATCTCTATGCCACCAGATCCCCGCTCAGCACCGGGAGTTCCTCCTACGACTGCACATCCGCCGAATGAAGGCGCAACTCGCGGCGGAGCTGAAAGAAGACGCGACAGCAGCGGCAGGCCAGCCACAGCCACAAGCTCCCGGCGACCAGTACGGACAGGGGTACGGCGCACCGCAGGTCCCGGCGGCGGCTGCCTGCAGTGCCCCCAGCCGGGTACCCCCGAGGACGGGCGGCTTTCATCCCGCAGCGGGTGGTGGGGGCACGGGGGGTAGCGGCCGAGCGAGCCTATCACGGCATGCCAGTAACGGTAATGGTTCCATGGGGGTGGCCAGGGGCCCCTCAGGAAGGGCGAGTGTACCAAACGTTACTCGGGGCATGGAAAGCATGTCGTTACAGCGGTAGCAGCGGAGGCGGCGTTGGAGGGGCAAGGAGACGGCCGCGAGGGCGCATATGGCCGGCGGCTGGAAAATGGGAGGCTGTGGCAATGGGATTGACACCCTTGTTTCCTGCACACCAGTCTAGGGTAGAATAGGGAGGAGTAGGAGGACTCGGGGTGGTTTGGGGGCGGCTTGCGTAGGGGCGGCTTACTTAGCGAGGAGGCAAGACATGTAGAAAGCACTGATAGGTGGCTGTCGGGCGCGGCGCGGTAATACCGCGCTGTCATAAGGTGGGCTGACTCGGCTCACATAGGTTAGTGACTGTAAAAAGGGGGGGGAGGTGTGGTCTGGAAGGGAACTTCCATTGGATGGCTGTGCACAGACGACGCTGGCTGAAAAGGCCGCGACAAAAACCTTACCTGGGCCTCGCAACAGAATATGGTTACAAGTATGTACAGATGTATCGTGTTCCTTGCAGCTGCTGCATGGAGGTGCATGGAGGTTGCTGGGGATGCCGCAAAACGGGGGCGCTTCCGGTGGGCTGCGGGTGCCGCGTTCCACTCACAGCGCTGGGACCTACCTTGGGGCTCTCGCCGCCACCGTACCGTTAGGATAGACGTCGGTCGCCAAATCTCAATGATTCAGGCGGGGCATGTAGCTGGGAGGAGTCACTCTTGGTCAGGGGTCGAATACGGTACCAGCAAACGAGGGCGTGGGGAATTAGTAAGGTCTTGCGCATTTTGGCATATGCAACGGCAACACACATGCACACGCGACCTTACTGATTATTCATAGCACACGCGGATTAGTGGCACCGCTTCCGTCCAGAGCAGATGGCGGCCAGGAACCCTTACGGCAGGTGGAAGGCCTTAAAAATTTTCTTATAGACCACCACCACCTGCTCGGCTGCTGAGCAGCGGGCTCTGCCCTTTGCTACAGAAGGGTTCAGACGGCCGGTCCGCTGTTGACCGACAGCGACAGCTCACGGAGTGCGTGAGCAGGCCAGAGGCAGGCAAGGAAGCGATAGTTAACCGAGGCATTTGTAGACCAGCAAGACCAGCAAGATGCTTGGGCGGCGGTACCTCCAGCACGTGGATCCCCCAGAACCGGGGCAAACGTGCAATGCATAGGCGTCACAACCCAGTGGAAGTGGCTCACGTCATGTAGCTCACCATTTATCCATGGGGGGGGGACGCAGCTGCCGGGGTCGCCGGCGGCCATAGCTTGGGCACAACAGCTGTAAATCCACTATCCCTTCCGAGTGATGTATCTAGCTTCTTCCGGCGGCTTCGGGGATCCAGCATAACCAATTTTTTTCCTGAAGGGGTTCATGGACCGCCTGAGACCAGTAAAGTCCTTTGGTCTTATGCAGCCGTGCGACAAATAGGAGCGCTCGGGGTCAGGCCTGCCTCCTCCTGAGCAGCCCTGACATCATAATAAGCCTAGGTAGACCTATAAGGTGAATACTGGCTCATACCATGAAAAGCTTGGATGACGCGTGGTATGGGGTATGGGCTGTGGGTGCAGTTTGCGCTAGAGGAACCGCATTGTCGCACGCTCCGTTCGTACGCAGGGCTGGCGCCGCTGCGAAGTGGCATGAATCACGAACGCAGAGGCGTGCGAAACGAAGGGGCCTCACGGGGAAGCTGCACGGCTTCAAGAGGACGAGGCGGTTAACGCAGAGCTCCGGTAGCAGGCTGATCTTTGGATCGGCTGCCTGCCTTGCAGCTATCGGGAAGATGACGGTTAGACGGTTATGTTCTAGTTGTGTATGTGGCCAGTAGGAAAAGCGAACTGAGTAGGCATCTGTGCATCGGTGTTACGTTTGCCTTTACAAATAGGGAAAGTTGCGTTGCATTACTGAACGGCAGGCGGTTAAGCCCCTTTGTTTTCCTGCAGTCCCCTAAAAAGGAGGTACACGCCTGCAAAACATGACCATTCCGGCCATTGATGGCGCTTGTGAATAGGCCTTAAGTGAAATGTGTCAAAAACCGGTTCATGTGTTTGTAAGTTCTGTTACCGAAAGCGCGTCCAATTTTGCTTGTAACAGCCCGGCGATTCATCTTCGCAAGGAGGCACGAAATCAAAGCGGTCCTAGGGATACAAATCTCAAAGATTCTAACCCTGCAGAAACACGACTGAAGGACTTGCAGATCGGCAGGGATACATGTGGGCAAACCGTCGTAGATATTTTCAGGATATTACATCCAGCGCCAGACCCTGGGGCCGCTGCCGCGCTTCATAGGGCTAATGATGGATGTGTATAAGTCCTTTATCATTCGGTAAACGACATATATTTTGGCTCTGCTGCCGAGAATGTCACTCCAATGTGATGCGGTGTACGGCCACACTTTTCCAGCAGTTGAGGAGTTCTCGATGCTGTGTCGCTTGGGCATACGGCTGGAAATATCTGTCCGTTGTGCCATTTACAGATGCTCTGCACTATGCTTCTGGGCTAATGCCGTGAGGCTCTGCTGCTCTAGACGCTCCGCTCAGAACTTTCCCTAGGTTATAGTTCAGCGCGGCCGGGCGCGCCGCGAAGGCCCGTGCCGTGCGTCTTGTGAAAGTACTGTTACTGGTTAACTATCTGCGGTGACCCGCGCGCGTGTCAAGACGTGCGTGGTTTCAAGGCTTGCAAGGAGCGCCAGGGAAAGGGGAGCACGCTTTGTTATCGCCCCGTGCCCCAGGTTGAGGAAGGGACCTAAAGCCAGGCAGGAAGGTGGGTTGCATGCAATAGCTGCCTTCAAGGCTAACAGCCCGGCGCGGATGGCCCTCTGGCGAAACGTACCTCGACGGTCACCCTTAATCTCTTGGAATACACGGAAAATGTGTCTTGTGCTGCCTAGGGCGTAGGCTGTTGGCAAAGTCTACTTGAGGCCGCATTTCCGCGTTGTCTGGCGCGTACTCCACTCGTGCTCAAGCATTGTTCAAGAGTGCTCGAAAGTCAATAATAAGTGAATAATAAGTCTGATGCAAGACATTCCATTAATATGCAAAATATCAACGCATTCCACAAGGTCTTTCCTCTTCAAGACCTGCAGATGCAGTTCTGCAGAACGCGCTGAAAAGTTTATCGAACCCCGTGTAGGAGACCCCTCCTTATAGCCCAACGAGGAAGCTTTGGAATGCTTCCGGGCTCGCTGTCTGCGGGTTGGCGACACTGCAGCGGGGAACTTCCTATGCCTAGCACGACGCTTGGGGTCCAGGTGCGAAGGTTTCCCTAATGCGTCACTATATATCAGGCTTGCCGGCTTAATATTCCCTAACGCCCAGAGCGCTGTGCGCGCCTTTTCGCATCTGGACAGGGGCACGGGGGCGCGCCGATTCACTCACACACGTTATCAAGCGAGACTTTAGCGTCGATGTATGAACAGTCAACTGATCGGTCTAGAGGTGAGGTTGAACGGTACACCCTGTTTCGGCGCGAAGCGCCAGCATGACAATGGCTCAGCAGCGCCTTGCGCAGGCGTGGCTTCGGAAGCTGGCAGCCTCCAGCAACAGTCTAGTATGCTCAAGAATGCATCAGATCCAAGCTTACGGTCAACAGGCAGCAGCTTTGCCGACTTGGAATCAGCAGGGTATGCAAGGTGCGTCTCAGCAAGCCGGTCCAGGTCGGCTTCAGACTCAGTACGATTGACATGTTTGTTTTTACAGGCATGGCATACATCGCCAAGAAGATCCTGACATCTTCAGCGCGGTTGGCGGTATGGAACTGGGCGCGGACGGCGACTTGGAGTCACTGGGCGTGGATTTCGCTTCGACCAGTGGGCATGAGCCGCTCGCGGAACCGTCTCGCACGGTATTTGTGAGGCATACTAATCCAGCTGCTGGCGACGAGGAGTTGTTGGCAGTGTTTAAGGTGGGTGGTGCGGCGCTGATACGAACTGGACGGCGGGCGGGGATTGTGACATTGTATGTATCCCAGACGTGGCTCACGCGTGGTAATGCACTTGTCCCTGGCTTGTTACTGTCAGGTGTTCGGCGACGTCGGGCACATGTACACCATTAGCAAACACCGTGGCTTCGTGATGGTGACGTATTTCGACTTGAGGAACGCCATGCGGGCCCAGGCGACACTGAACGGCTCTCACATTAACGGTATCAGCCTTGGTAGCACATCCCTGGAGGTGCACTTCTGTGCTCCCAAAGGGGACCCGACCATAAACCAGGTGCGGGGTTTGCGGAGATGGCCAGGTGGGAGGTGGGGGGAATGGGCGCTGCGGGGCCGGCCAGGTATTTCCGCAAGCATGTAGGGGTTAATCAAGGGATGGGTTTGGGCTTCAAGTCCTTGGTTATGCATCTCAATCCGTATGTGTGGAAGGACTGGGCCTGGTTTGAGGTGAAAGGGGTTCGTGCAAGCGTCGGATGATGCGCTTGCTGTTCCGCTATGGGGAATAGGATATGCATCATCTTCTGAGTCGCTTGTCGTTCATCCCCACATGCGCACAGGGTACGGTCACCGTGTTCAACCTCGATCCGGATACCACAAACGAGCATTTGGTCTGGCTGTTCTCTAAATTCGGTGACGTTAAGGACATTCGTGAGTCGCCTGACCGTAGCAACCAAAAGTTCATTACTTTCTACGACACGCGGCATGCGCTGGAGGCCTTGCGCCTAATGAACAAGGCCGAACACCTTGGCAAGCTCCCTTCGAACATCACTCCTCAGCTGGCGGCGTCTTTATCACAGCATACCATGCATGGGGCGTCTGCAGGATTCGAGGTGCGCAACGCAACGCGGCAATGCGCGCACTATTTCAGACGGGGGCACTAGAGCCACACGGGCGCAATGGTAAAGCTGGCAGTTTAGGTCCTGATCGAGCCCAGTGCGCACTTTTGGGACGAGCACAAGGGCTCTTCCGTTCAATGTCACTATTGAGTTCATCTAGCTGCTTTACCACACTTTTTAAGGAGCAACGAATTATACGTGGATGCAGCATTTACTTGATCGGCCCTTCGTGGTTGCATGCCATGCTGCAGGGTGTTCAGCGATCGCAGTTCCTAAGCGGACAGGCGGGAAGTGCAGGGATGTGGGACTCACAGCACTCACCGGAGCTGCTGCAGGCGCAGCTGGCTGCAGCAAGGCAGTCCGCATCACGCGCATCATCCCAGCCCGGTACATCGTCCCCCAGCCCTCTACCTGGCACATCACCTGCGGGACCGGCGTTCCTTGCACCAGCGCGGCAAGACTTGCAGGTATGAAAGTTATCTTTTGCAGGCGCAAATACCCGCAAGGGTTGCAACAGTGATATGAAGCACCGCATGCTGTTCCCGTTGGCACTGGATCAGTTGTTCGTGTAGTGTCCAACGTTTGGGTGGAATATTTGCAGGTGCCGCCTTCTGTCACGCTGAACCTTCAGCAACAGCAGCAGCCAGGGCAGGCTGTCCAAGGCATTGTCGGCAGTCAGCAGCAGGCTGTGGAGCAAATGGCGGCTGGAGTGCGGCCGGGCCTGCATGTGTCGGACTCAGCGTCCAGCATGTCATCGGTGGCGGGGCAGGCCGCTAACCAGTTATTTGCGGCAGCAGCCGCGGCCGGTCGCAGCCCTCTCGGGGGAGGGGCCATAATTGGCACCCACGGTCATGGAACCCATGGCGGCCACGTGTCAAAGGCTGTTCCTTCGCTTGCTACTCTTTCAGAGGCGCAGGCGCTGGAGGAACAGGCCGGGCTGTATGCGGCGGCTGGGTCAATGCTGGCGGGGACCGGTGGCCAGAGTGGGATAGAGCAGACCGGTGGCAGCAATGCTGCTAACGTGAATGCAACTGCCAATATGCTAATGGGGTTGCAGCTTGGACAGGACCAACAGCTTTGGGCGTTGCAGCAACAGATGGCTGGTGCGGCGCAGGGCCAGGCGGTAACGGCGGCATCTGGACAAGCAGGCCTGTGGGCGGCTGCTGCTGCTGCTGCTGCCGCCGCGGGGTCGCTGTACGGTCCTTCTGCCCAGCAGCAGGCTGCGGCAGCTGCTGTGAACCTGCAAACACTGCGCAATCTGCAGGAACTTCAGGCTCGTCAGCAGGCGCAGCAGCAGCAGGTGGCAATGGCCACCAACCTGGCATTGTTGCAGGGCCAAACGCTGTCGGCTGCCGACCTGAACGCGGCTGCGGCGCACCTGCTACACATCGCCGGCTTGGGAAATGCGCTGGGGCAATCCCCTTCGGCTGCAGCATCGCTGTTGCCCGCTGCGGCGGGGCTGGGCATGGGCAGCCTCGGCGGCCTCGCTGGAAGCGCTAGCAGTCTCAGCGGCTTGAGCAGTGCAGCTGCTACGCAGCAGCTGCTGCAGAACGCCATGGCCATGAGCAACATGGGTGTGCTGGGCGCGCTTGGCACGATGCAGGCCGCGATGGGAGGTCAGCCTGGAACAAGTCGACTGAGCGGCTCATTTGGGTCCCTCACGGGCGCGTTGGCTGGATCGCAGGCCGGCAGCAGCGGCCATCACAACAGCAATGGTGCTCGTGACGGCGCCGGAGGCAACCGCGGCGGCGGCCGGTTAAGTCGTCGCACCACGGACCCGGCCGCCGAGCTGGAGCGCAAGTTGCAGCAGGAGAAGCTGTATGCGTTGGACCCTGTTAAGATCCGCAGCGGAGAGGATAAGCGTACAACGCTTATGATAAAGAACATTCCCAACAAGTACACCCAAAAGATGCTGCTCGCGACAATGGACGAGCAGTTCAAGGGCTCTTATGACTTTTTCTACCTCCCCATCGATTTTAAGAACAAATGCAACGTGGGCTATGCCTTCATCAATATGATCAATCCCTACGACATCATTGCCCTCGTGGAGCGATTCAACAACCGGCGCTGGGAGCGATTCAACAGCGAGAAGGTCTGCAGCATCAGCTACGCTCGCATCCAGGGCCGCGCCGCACTTGTCGCGCACTTTCAGAATTCAAGCCTGATGCACGAGGACAAACGCTGCCGGCCCATCCTTTTTACTGCGAACGGCACCGAGACCACAGACCCGGAGGCTTTCCAGAACGACCCTTCACTGCAGCCCGTGCCCACTGCAGCAAGCGGCGCGGCCATGTCGCAGTCAGGCAATCAGCAAACCGCGGCGTTGGGTGGAGGCGGAGCTCTAAACGTCGCACCGTCAGTCAGTATCGGGCCTGCGCGTCTGCGTGCTGCTGCGGCCGCCGCAGCTGCGGCCAGCGCATCGGGAGGTGGCGGTGGTGGTGCTGCCCCGGCCGCTAGCACAGGGCAGACAGTGGAGGAGCAGCGCGGCGGTTCTGTGGGGCCACCAGGACAGAACACAAGTGCAGGTTGCTAAACATTATCATGGGGCATGCGAAGGGCAATGGACGCGTCTTTTGCGTTTGACGGGTAATTAATTTTGGTTTTGCCATCAGATAAGATAATCAATATGAGAACAGTAGTGTCGTCTGGGCAACGAATGTTGGCAGCCGCGCCGAATGCGTCGGCGTGTCCCAGTTCTGCGCGCATCATCCTTGTCGCCGCGTACGGCACAGGGTCAAGCACATGGTTGGGCTTGCCTGCTGGCAAGACCTCTGACCGTGCGTTGTGTGCCAAGCTCACGGACTCCCAACTATTTTCTGGCCCTGCTAGTCCATGTTTTCCATGCTACGCCATTTTAGGGAGGGGCGGTTTGTGACCCGCTTGGCCATCAAGAAGTGAACGCGTCCTGTTTCAGAATTTTTGGCTGTTGTGGAAGGCGCGCCTGGCAGGCTGTTCTTTGATGGACGTATATCCATACGTGCCAGGACCGCTGGATCGTGTGGAGAAAGGGGTGTTTCGTCTTGCTTTTATGTTATGGACGGGTTTGCAGGTTGCCTTTCTTTCTGCAGCCTTTTTTGTTCCGGCCTGCGCTGCTGCGCGCTTTGTACAATACCTTAGGGGCCCCCTGTGCGGCTGACCTCAGCCGGCCGTGGTGGCTGCAACTCCCGACTCTCGAGTGTTTTGACGCGCGGTCGTGCCCGTGCGACCCGCTCCCTGCCTCGGTGCTGCTGGCCCCCCTTAAGTGGCCACCACACCGGGTACTCGGGTCTCTGCGGGGTGGCAAGTGTTGCGTTGTGTGCCTTTGGTGATAGTAGTTGGTTTTCGCTAAAACAAACATTTGTGGTGTCGGTTTCCTGATATCAGCGTAGCGAGTTTTGAACAATTCGTGGTTATGCTGGTGGTTTGATGCAGATGCCATGTGCAAATGTGCGCGTGGCTTGAGCTTCGCCGGAATGCAGGTGTGCAGATGATTGCGCACACTGACTGACCGACCGGCAGCACATCGCGGCGGTGGGAGCTATGGTCGGTGCGCCCCGTGGGAAGCTGCTTTGGGCCCCCATTGAGTCGCGACTTCGCTTTACACTGCATCGGCACGCGAGGCTCATGTGGGCGCATATGCTCTGTGCATCGTCGCGGCAGGCGAGTTTGCTGTATTGAAAGGGTTTGTTAGGGCGGTACACGTTTTTTTCTCGCGGTGGTTTGTAGTGATTGGTAGGAGAGTTTCTATGCGAGTGCGATACAAGTGTTGAGATGTAGAGGGAAGTGGCTGTCTGCCGTGCTTGCACGCCCGCGTGCACCTGCGCTCGCCCCGCAGGGGCGGTGCGAGCAGCGCGACGACAAAATGTTTTTCGTATTAACTGTAGAACAGCCGAGCGCCGCGGTCGTGCGGATTCTTGGGGTGAAATGTGGGGTTTTCCGTGGTCAAAGGTGGGACCACTTTTTGTGGCTGGGGCATGGTGCGAGGCGACGTTGTATCGCTTAGAGCGGCTGGGCGCCGCGAGGTGCAGACTTGGCTTGCCCAGGCTGGCCTGGTGGCCAACGATGTCCCTGCCAGCATCGTATCCAGTTGCAGCAGTCGGCTACTTTGTTATAGGATGATATGGGGCATTCGCGAGTGTGGAAGTCAGTGCGACACTCCTCGACCTCCCACCCGTGCATGCGGGGTTTCATAGCGTCCTGCTTTCCTGCGGAGCCGCAGCTGGGATGTCGCCGGCGGGAGCAACGATTGGGACAGTGGATGGTCGCCTGGGGCGCTTTTTACGTATGTGTCCCGCCGCTTTGGCGTGTTGGTTTGGTTTTTGTTCATCGGTGTGTGTCGAGGAGAGAGCTTACTAATTCGCAAGGCAGTCGTTTGTGTCCTATGTGAACCAGAAGAAGCAACGGCAGTTCCCGTTTTCCAGTTTGTTCCTGAATAGAAGGGGCGCGGGGTCGTAGCTTGCATGGCCGGGCAGCTGTTTGCCTGATGGCGGCGCTTGAAAAATCCCCGCTAGCCGGGGCTTGCGCGTTGTCGAGATGGTGCCTAGTGCCGTTGTCCGTTAAAGCGTCTCGAAACTACTTTCTAATTGTTTCACACATGCATTGTTTCGCGGTGTGCGGCGTGCGGGACGGGGTATTTCGCATGCGGCGACGCACATTCTTCGCCGGGCCCCAGTCGTGCCATGGCCTTGGCAGGTCTCGGGGATATGCCTGCCGTACAGCCGCATTGTCTGCTGCCCTCCGTACGGGTGCATTGCACTATTGGACCCGCCTCTGTTGCCTTTGGTTTGTATCGTTGTGCAGCATATACTTGACGCCTGCTGTTGTGCTCTGCTATGTTGCCACTCGCGGCTGATTGCTGGGATGCCTGCGTGCACACATGCACTTACCGGTGCGTGCTCGTCGAACGCCGCCCGGCCGGAAGCCGTCGAGGTTGACGGCAGAGTGCTGCTTGAATACCGCAAGTGGATGTCGGGTGGGATGGTCATGGTGGGCTGTCGGCGGGCGGGTCGGCAGTCTTCTGCCTTCCGCTAAGTGTGCGCGCCACGTTCTCATGAGCAGGGCGTATGTGAGAGTGTGCGTCTGGAGTTCAACGCGCATGTTGTCCGGTGAACAGGAGAGGCGCCCGCGGCGCTGCCATAACCTGTGCCCCTTCACGCTTTGTGAAGACCCTTCGATGAACTGTAGGCGCGCTCCCTGCCGCGTACACGGCATGCACCCTGGCTGTTTGGCACCCTTATGTCGTCGTTGAATTCTTTCGGCATGTATGTGCGCTTCCGTGTTTATGTTTGTTATGTTTTGCTTCAGTAAGCGTTTTATAGAAATGCCGCCTCGGTTCATGGGGCTGGGTCTGCACGTTTTGATTTTAGCGCTTTTGCTCATGTGTGTGGCCTAGTAAGTCCTCGAGCATGTTGCTATGAGCCTTTGCTACTTTGTTTGCTTTGTTAACCTCATCTCATGTTGTTTGGTTTGAAATTGTATGAGTATTTTTTGAGTAGTCTAGGAGAAAGAGATTTGACTTCCTTTTGGACGCCACGTATTGTACATAGAGTCGGTCGGGGGCCGGCAAGTTGAGGCCTGGTTTGGCGCTGAGGTGGCCGTGCACGTGTCTTTATGTGCTCGGGCGCTCTCACGCAAGCGAGAAAGTCGACCACCCTCCGGACTGCGTAGTGATCAGCAAGCTTGTAAAGTAGTAAGCTAAGTGCTCCCCTCCGCGCATGCCTCAAAGGCAGACGTATGATCATTGTAACAGAGCGCTTGCCAAGCCTGGGAACCCAGGGGATACATCAGTAAATCCGCGAGTTACGACGTCCCGGCTGCCAGCGGGCATCACTATAAACGCCGTACTGGACGGCCTTACCCACCTCGTTGGTGATGGGTTACCCCTGCTCTGGATCGCTTTCAGCGTCTCCGCCTATTTCATGATCCTTCGCGACCCAAACCAAAATTTCTTGCGATGTATGGCATCCTTCCCTATCGTGCCCAAATGTGCTGACTTTAGGCGAACAGTGTTTATCCCGGCATTTACAGTGACAAGGCGGGTGTGTATCAGGATGCCGGGATCCTTTAGGAGTGTTACGGAGCATTTAGACCCGTACGACATTGATGGATGTTTCATGGCGACTTCCAGGACATTTTCCTACATAGGTATCATTTGTGGGTGGCCAATTTTACATTACATTAAGTTCTTCCGCTCCCTTCGGGCCAGCGGCCAGGCCCTTCCGTAGTGCTTTCGGGACAAGGCGAAAATCAATCCATCATAATGCTCCGCAAGGGTGCTCAGGTTGTTCTGCAGTCCGAGCGTACAGGTATTATTTTTAGTCAAGGACAATGAATATGGCGGCCAAGGGATTATACACGGGACATCAAAGTCGGGCTTCGTGATTTGCAGGTCTCCAGCAGACCTGTGCCGCGGCTCAGACTGCATTTGCGCGCCAGTTTGGAGCCCCTGCTCATAATGATTCGCCTACCACACCGCTCAGCCCCATCATGCCGGGCATCGTCTCTCTGCCTCGGAAAGTGATTGGCACAGCGCTGAGCCTGACCGGCAAGGCCGTTGCTGGTGCAGCTACTTCCAGCTACGTGAAGGACCTGGTTTCTTCGTTTGCGGACAAGGTGCGTAGGGGGCGCTCCATAACGAGTTTCATCGGTAACTGTTTGCACATACTCGATTATTAAATTTTGTAGGCCATTGTGAGCGAGTCGCTGGCCAAGGTTGAGGACGTGGATATTCCGTTCTGGGCTTACTGGCTGAGCATCGGGGGCTATAGCAGCCCAGCTGGCTACAAGAAGTTTGCAGATGCGGCTAAGAGCAAAGTCCTTGGCATGGAGCCGCAGCAGGTCACTGACCTGGTCGTGGCGTTCCACAAGTAAGTCCCGAAGCTCTCCCGCAACTTGGAATACGCATCTGATACCGGTTCAGGCAAGATCACGGATTGCTGCTTACTTTAACAGAAGGCTAATAGCAGTTTCCGGAGTCCGCTCACTGAAACGCGTCCTTGGTCGTGCTCGTCGGGGGTTAGCAGCCTTACTGGTCTGCGCGTCCCATGGTACTGGCGCAGCTCATGAAGGGGTTCGCATTGCTTTTGCAGGGTGAACTACTACGATAAGGATCTGTGCACGGGTGTCGCTGCGAACATATCTGCCAACTTCACGAAGTATGAGACGGAGCAGCTCTTAAAGGTGCTGGGGGCGTTCCTGGAATTCGGGTTCTATGACCTGGCAGCATATGACGACATCGCGGACTCCATCACGTACTGCAACCACTACCTGGCACCCATTAAGGCTTCGCCTGTAGAGCTGGCCAACGCGTTCGCTGCATATCAGAAGTTCGAGCACGAGCGCGGTGATCTTTTCCTTGCTCTGGCAAGGTATGGGGATGTCATGTCGAAAGATGAGAACCAGTGGTAAATGCACTCAGGCGCTGGGGTCTGTTTGGTACTTCGTATGCTGTTAACGAATACTAGAGAGGAGCTGGCCATCATATAGGCAGTCAACCAGTTCACAAAGTATAGTCGTGGCAAGCATTTCTGCAGCCTATGATGCTGCTATGTGCAGTTTCCGTCTTGGGGGTGTCTCTTTTGCCTGTCAATGCGTGGCGGCTCCGTGGGTCAGATCTGAGGCGGTAGACCAAAGGAATTTTGGTTCCGCCAGCCGCGCCCCTGTGGTATGGACGGCATGACCGTCTTGCGCGTTTACCTTTCAGTGATAAACCTTGCCACGTTTCCGTAGGATGAAACCTAATCGTACACGCCAGTCAGTATGGACATGGCTACTAGCAACTGGGGACGCCACCAGGATTGGATGCTGTCGGTTATCCTAGAGCACCGGTAACTGTCGACCCGCCTTGTTGGTCACTGGGCTGTGAGGACACGGCAAGGGAAAGGGAGACGTAAGCGCTGCGGATCATTCATCCGTTCATGCTTTGGTTATTTGATCCGTGCTAGGGGCTTCAATGAGGCGTCGCTTACGAAGCTGGATGCTGATTCCCGCAAGGCAGTGGTGCTTAAGGCACTGCGCGCCTTCCACGCCTTCCAGTTCTGGCCGGAGGCCACCGGTGGGTACTCGGCAAGGGATTAAGATGGCTTTGTACGTCTCTACTGCCAAGCTGTGGACGTGATAGGCGTTCGCATGAAGCTCCGCTTGTTTGGTATTAAAAATGTGGATACTAACGAAAGCATGCTCAAATACGGCTCGAAAGCACCTGCAGATGCTTGCTTATTGGCGTATTACATAAATTGATTGATTAGTTTCGAGAGCTGAATGGAAGCAGACGAAGTTTTAAGCAGTGACGAATGTTGAGCAACAGTTGGAGCTTGGGAGCACTTTTGCGCTGTCCGGTTGGCTCAGAGCGAAGGGCAAGAAAATTAAGCCTTAGTATGAGTATGTGATGCGATGTGATGTGATGGTGGTCCTCAGATCGTGGCCTAGACTCGGTTGTACAGTAGTGTGGAGTGTGCATCGTGTGTTTTAAGCTGGGTACTTCATCTTCACGCTGACACCCGGCCATGTTCGCCACTCCATGTCCACGCAGAGGCTTTGCTGTACGCCGCCAAGAACTCGCCGGCGTCTTACAGTGCCGACGAGATGAAGGAGGTGGAGAAATACCAGGCGTTGCTGGAGGACGCGCAGGGCGGCGAGCTGCGTGTGTTCAAAGAGGGCGACGACGTGGACTCGGTGCATTGGTAAGTGACGTTAGCTGCAAAGCTAGGAGGTTGGTGCGCTGTAGGCGATGGGCTCAGGTAACCCTGGCCCGTACAAGACTCATACGCGATAAGCGTGACTCGCCGGACCTACCGGATGGTCGTGAATGGCTCCTCGCCATCGGGACTTAATTTCTATTACAGGACCGTTGAGAGCATAGGCAGTGCAAATTGATAAGCGGCATACAAAAGGGATCGTGCCAGTAAATAGCGGATGATAGCAGAGGAGAGGGTTAAGGCACAGAGGAAGAGGACAAGTCGCTGCAGCTGAGACGCCGGCGTAATGAAAGTTAAGGCATATGCTGACTGCGACAGGCGGCGCGACGGATTTGCATTTGGAGGGGTCGGGTAACCGTCGTGTCCCATGTTCTTTGTGAAAACTTGCTCTGCAGGTACGGCCACCACACTTCAGCACCGTCGTCGTACCAGTTGTACGTTTTCCGTGACTCGTTGGTCCCGAAGCAGTACTCGCCTGCCGGCATGCGGCCTCTCAAGTGAATGTTGGTTACACGACAGTCTCGGGGGGCTGAAGAGCGAGGAGGATTGTCGACACAGACCAGCTCTTTCATCCGTGAACTTGTGGTTGGCGTCGGAAATCTCTGAGAGCAAGGACAAGGCGATTATGTAGCCTTAAGCACCAGCCGACGGTGTCCGGCTGGTTACGCTCCGTGTGTAGTTTTGGAAAATCACTGCTGAGGCGCGAGGTAGTGGTCGAGCTTACTTGATGTTAACTTAGTGGGGTAGCGCAACTTTCTCTGGTGGTTGCCTTGTGGCCGAAATTGATCACGTCGGATCCAGTCACCCTCTTTCTGTAAATGTGGGGCACGCTATGGACGCTAACCTAATCTTCAACGGCATGGGATTGGCAGCCTAGCTTCGGCAAGAAATGTTTGAGGATGTGCCAAGGGAAGGCTGGGCCTTGCCGCCCTGAGGTGCACGGGAAAATCCTAGAAATCCTTCACAAAGCGTTCCTGATTGGCCGGGGGGGGGGTCCCAAACCCTGTTTCCTGTATCCGGATGGTCCCAGCTTAGTGCGCGTATAGGAAAAGAAATGGGAACTAACAGCCACTGATGAGGGAATTTACTTGCCAAATCGTCTTTGCGCTACCATCGGGTGTTACACCCTGTTGGTTTCCCACGACGAAAAGAATGGTGTCAACTAGTGCCTGGAGACAACATAGGAAGGGATGGGAGGGGGTTGTAGGTTTAGTTACGGCTAATCAATAGTTGAGCACATGGTGGAGTATAATACCCCTTGGTGGTGACCAAGGTGCAAATTTGCCGCCAAGCTGGAAGCCAACAACTATACTAAAGGATCGATCCGCCGCCGCGATTGCAGCAGAAAGGCCAGCACCTTCCATCAAAGTTCATCTAGCTGGTAAATGCTAGAAATTGCGTTTTCGAGAGGTGTTTTGTTTGTTCAGAAGTACGACTGCCTGTTGGCGCGAAAGCCGTCGTGAACCTTTTCTTGTGATATCAGCAAATGCCGGCTAACATAATGAGTCTACGTTATTACCTGGGCCAGGCGTAATTAATGTCAGGCTAACTAATGAAGACACAGGTTTAGAGTTTAGTCACCATTTCAGGTACAATCCCCACAATTACACCGAACAGAGCACTTGCACTTATCAGAGTATATTACGAAGGACAGCATAAGTCATCCACTGTGTCAGGTGGCTTCCAAACTGTAGACTTTGGAAAGCGCGCGAAAGCATTGCAACCATGGTGCGCAAGCAATGTCTTTGAATGACAGCCGGCGCACAATCAATTAAGGGCCGTGGTCGAACACCCTTGCAGGATGGCGAGGCGAACCCGCTTGATCAGTATGAGCCGGTCGACAACGAGGTCGTGGAGGAGGAGGAGGAGGGCGAGGACCTGATGGAGAACATGGAGCGGTGCGTTTTTCAGCAAATTCTAGCTGCAATTTATTACGGATCAAATCATTCCTGGCCTCAGCGACAGCTGGCATTCCTTGCTAGCTGTCGCGCTTTTGCACGGGCGGCGAACTCATCAACCGCCAACTGTGCTTGTACAGGGACTACCAGCCGCAGCCGCACCTGGATAACTACGACCCAGAAGGACTAGATGACGAGGAGCCGGAAGACGAAGTGGAGGACCCTGTCGCCGCGCGCCTTGCTGCCGAGGAGGAACTCAATAGACGTGACGCGCGCCAGATGCGGCCACGCCGGACGCTGCCGGACTTTATGCTGGCAGACGACGGTGCGTGCAGACCTTGGGGTTGTTTCCTGCTGCAATCTAAGGAGCAGTATGGGGCATGTCATAGCTGCCAATGAGAGGAGCGTGTACGACAGAACCCGTGTCGGTACAGGTGCCTTCACATCTTGCGTGGAGAACATGTTTAGCCTCTGAGCCAAATCTCAACTGGAGGTCATTCGGGTCCGACGAGCTGCATCCGGCTGTCGGCTCGGATAGCAACCACGACCTTCGCCACAGCACCTCATCACCTCGAAACCCTATCTGCCATCCTGTTGCTCTTAATAGATGAAGACCCGCGTCGTGAAGATTTCAACCGCCGTCGGAAGCGGCGTCAATCCTTTGACATCGCCCCATCAGAGACACATGTAAGTCAGGCTATGCATCTTGCCGCTTCCAGACCAACCTGTGGACAAATCATGGCGGCGGCGACAACAAAAAAGCATGCGTTTCGTGCAGGGCAGTCTAACGACCTACTTCCCACTTCTGGTATCTCCTGCGCTAGCATATGCTCTTCCAACCATGCCTCCTTTTTGCTGGTGACGTGGAAATAACCAAATGTATGCTTCTGCGGTTGTCACTTACACAGCCGCCCTCACATATCCTTACGGGCCTGGTTCCATTTCCCTGCAGGATGTTCCGCTTGATTTGGACATTGAGGAGGTGAAGGGTCGCCTGACAGAGTGGATTGCTCAGGAGCAGGTGGCGGCAGAGATTAAGCGCCGCTTCAGGCATTTCTTACGCAACTACCCCAACGACAACCCCAACGGCCAACAAGTTCCCGGCAGTGCACGACATCCCGAGATCTACATGGAGCGTATACGGTCCATGTGCAAGGGTACGCTGGCATGCGGAAGGGTGCGACGCTGGCTGAATGGGGTCGAGGGCTTAGATAGTGGTGCCACTGCGCTGACTAAGGGGGTGGGCTAAGCACGGTTGGCACAACCTAACATTTTCGAGCGGTCGGGTGTATATTGTTGTTGTTACAGAGTGGGAGGCTTCTGGGCCATTTGCACACATTTGGATTGTCATATCTAGGGTTGAACAGCATCAACCATTACCACACTGTACTACGCCATACGAACTGCTAGTCCAAGGCGTATGTATCGGATCCTTACTTCAGCTGTATTATCAGACCTGTTTCCTCAGTTTGGATTCTACTGATTTCGTTTGCTGACGAACCCGAGGACTCTCGCACGTTGGGTTGGTGGGGGCCTGCAGACAACAAGCGCTCCCTGGAGCTCGAGTACAGTCACTGGGCGGAGTTTCAGCCCACGTTGAGCATTTGGGTGGCGGATGCACCTCGTCAGATGCTGGAATACATGGATGAGGCGGCCACGGAGGTATGTGCGTGGCCTGGAGGGCCAGGCAGGGAAGCGGGTGGCGGGGGTTTGGAGGGACTCGCAGGATCGGCAAGTTAGGGCGTAATGGACAGCCAAGATGAGTCAGTAGAAAAACCAAGGGCCTAGGAGCGATGAAAGAGGCATACTCCTTTGGCAGTTTTTTAACGGCAGCATTGCAATCTGTCACTGCCTGTTGGTGTGGACCGTAAAACGGACTGTACTGTGCTCTCATGCAGCCGAGTGACGGCCAGTACTGTACACACGCGGCTGACAAGCCGGGTCTAGTATAACCAGCCCCCAAATACAAATGAAATTAAGAGGACGGCTGCCCTATGTTCAAATGCCCTAAATCTGTCCAACACAGCCTGACATGTATGGGACTGTGCCTTTGTTACAGCAGGGCGATGGTGGGAGGGCTGTCCCATTGGTCTGAAAGGACCTATCTTGCCTCAAATCGCTGAGGTATCCACCTGCAGTACTCCGCCCTTGTCCAACCTCTCGTATCCTCCCCCTCCGTATTCCCACATCCGTGCCGCAGGTAGTCGAGAAGGTCTTCAGTGAGCAGTTTTTCGACATGTGGCGGGCGTATGGCGAGGAGTACCGGGTGCATGTGCGGCTGGTGGGCCTGCCCATCAGTGATAGCCTGCGCGATCTGCGGTGGGTACCTTGGGACTGGGTGAGGGGGAGGGTCGGGTCGTTGCCTGGGCGGTTGGCTGGGCAGCTAGTTTTCGCTGGCGTTTAGGATTCTTATGAGCCCAGTCGCGGGCTGGCGGAGCGCACGGGGTGGTAAATGACCAGCAAGTGTCGGACACGGGGCCCATGGCCAGAGCTCCCTGATAGATGCGACCGCCATCCCCGTTTTGAACGGTTGCCTCGTTGTTATGAACTTGCTCCCTTCCCGCTGCTGGTCAACCCCCTGCAGCAACTATCACCTGAACTGTCTGGTCCGCGTGGCTGGAGTGGTCACACGCCGTACTGGTGTCTTCCCGCAGCTGCGGCTGATCAAGTACGACTGCGTCAAGTGCGGTTACGTTCTGGGTCCCTTCGCCATGCACACAGAGACGGAGGTCAAGCCCAATGCATGCCCAAGCTGCCAGTCGAAGGGGCCCTTCATGGTGTGTTGGGGGAGGGCCGTGGGGCTCTGTCGGGCCAGTTATGCCCCTCGATTGGTTTCCATCCACGCCACCCGGCATTGGCGGCAGATGGCGTGAGTGCAATGTAACGCCGAATGTTATCAGGCTTGTTCGCACCGGCATGTGGTGGAAGGAATGAATTGCCATATCAGCGTGCTCTTCGAACTGGCTCTGCAGGTCAACAGCTCTGAAACCGTGTACCGCGACTACCAGAAGCTGACTCTGCAAGAAAGCCCCGGCTCAGTGCCCGCGGGGCGCCTGCCCCGACACAAGGAGGTCATCCTCACACACGACCTCATTGACTGCGCCCGGCCGGGGGAGGAGATCGAGATTACAGGTACGTCTGGGAACTGGTGCCGAGGCAATCACGTCATCTGTTACATTTGTTAGGTATATAGGTTTTTATCCTATCGCCGTTGGTCCCTTTCTGTGATACAACGTGGGGCCACGTTGCCGCCCATATTGGAACGGAGGCCTGTGGAGGGACCTGTGGTCGAAAGTTGTGAGAACCACCCTTTGTGGGGCCACCACCCGTCACGTGCACTTCAGCGCCATGCTTTCGATGCTTCAAATTGTTTTGCCGGCCCTCTGCCGGACATACCCCTGACGTGGCTCTGGGAACGGAACATGTGCTCCGCCCGCCAGGCATGTACGTGTACGGCTACGACGCGTCCCTCAATGTCAAGAACTCGTTCCCAGTGTTCTCCACTCACATCGAGGCTAACTTTGTGTCGAAGCGAGAGGATATTTACTCTATGCATGCACTCACGGACGATGATAAGGCCCGAGTGCTGGAGCTGTCCCGGGACCCCCGCATTGGTACGTGTGGGTAGGGACCGTACCGCAATTGCCACGTCTGCCCAGCAGAGCACCAACTTCAGGCGGACAGCGCTATCTGTTCCTTTTGCTTTATACATGTTCACACCACACGGCGCCGTGTCTTGCTGATCTCACAAACCTCACAGTTGCATGATATGCGCGTCCCTTTGTTGCTTCGCCGAGGTGTCCTTTTGTAGTTCCTTCCTGTACGGACCAGCACTATCCTTTAGCGGGCCCTTTCCAACCCAAATTCGTCGCCTCCTCAAACCAAAGTAGCATCACAACCCTGGACCACCACCTCGACCCCCTACTTGAACCAAGCACGCTTTTACACGCCTTTGCCCCGGCAGGTCAGCGTATCATCAAGTCCATTGCGCCGTCCATTTATGGCCACGAGTACATCAAGACGGCGTTGGCGCTGTCGCTGATGGGCGGGGTGGAGAAGAGTCCCTCCCCCGCTTACAGGCTGCGTGGCGACATCAACGTGCTGCTGCTGGGAGACCCTGGGGTGGCCAAGTCGCAGTTCCTCAAGTACCTGGAGAAGACGGCGCCGCGGGCGGTGTATACGACGGGTGGGTCCATTTCGGCTGGCAGATGAAGCTTGCTGTTTCACATTCGTTTGCTGGTGTGTGTGTGCGTGTGTGCGCGCGTCCTCTGGTGTCCATGGCCACCTGCCGCGCCCCGCACACTGAGCTGAGGTCCCCAATTGCCCTCCTCATCGGGGCCCCCACAACCGCCACGGTGTTCACACACTTCCTGTCTTCAGGCAAGGGCGCCAGTGCAGTGGGCCTTACGGCTGCTGTACAGCGCGACCCGATTACTAAGGAGTGGACACTCGAGGGCGGCGCACTGGTCTTGGCGGACAAGGGTGTCTGCTTGATTGACGAGTTCGACAAGATGAACGACCAGGTAAGTTGGGGGAAATAAGCCATTGCGGCAGTATGTCAGCGACATACTAGTGTGTCAGTGTCATGTCAGTGTCTACACCTTCCTAACACATCTTTTCGTCGCCTCGGGCACCTTGTTGCGTCAGGTCTCCAGCATCTGCGTTCGCGCATTCCCATGCAGAAAAGCGGTAGTCTTATCCCTTTTTTATCCCTGCCCTTGATGCAGCCCCTATACCCAATACGCGCGCGAATTCGTGTATGTGTGTGGTTTGTTAGGTGCAACGCACCGTTTGACACGCACAGCATTTTTAGGTTGCGCCGTGCCCAGCGGGTACTCTCGCATGTCCACAAGTGAACGCCCTCACAAATGCTACCACCTAGCCGGCCTCACCTGTCTACCTCCCACTCCCCGTTCCTCCCCAGGACCGTGTATCCATCCACGAAGCGATGGAGCAGCAGTCCATCTCCATCTCCAAGGCAGGCATCGTGACGCAGCTGCAGGCCCGCTGTGCTGTCATTGCAGCTGCCAACCCTGTGGGTGGCCGCTATGACCCCTCCCGCACCCTGGCGGAGAACGTGGAGCTGTCTGACCCCATCTTGTCACGGTGAGGGAACAGGGGCTCTGGAAGTTGGGTGCCCCAAGGCTAATTTTTTACCGTTGCCTCGACCTCACCCACCTCCTGCCTGTCCAGTCGAATGTCTAAGTTTTTCGTCATTATTCTCTCCCATCCATAATCGTGCCGTCTTCCCTCCGCCTCCCGGATGGTCCGCCTCCCGTGCTATTCAGCTTCGACGTGCTGGCGGTGGTTCGCGACATTGTTGACCCGGTCAACGACGAGAAGCTTGCTAGCTTTGTCGTGGATAACCACATCAAGAGCCACCCCGTCAAGGTTGCTCGGGACCAGGAGGCGCGGGAGGCGGGACTGCAGCAGCCTGAGGACACCACCAAGTGGGTGTGTTGCTGTCACTTTTGAGTCCCTTCTGTGCACTTCCGGTCTCACATCTCACTTTGTTGTCGCCATGGAAAGACTTTCGGCGTGTGTCTGCCTTCTTTGCATGTTGTATTGGGATTTCTAGGATTGGCTCTTTGGTCGATAGCCTTGTCATCGTCTTAGGACTGAGTCGTGCTCGCTGTACCCGAAGCGCCCTGCATCCCCGCGATCATTACTCCTTCCCCGCCCCCGCCCCCGCCACCCGTCCTGACCCGTCGCCGCCCTCGTGACCCGCAGCCCGGTGGACCCGGACATCCTGCCCCAGGACCTGCTTCGCAAATACGTGACGTACGCCAAGCAGAACTGCCGGCCAACTCTTCAGGAGGCTGACTACGATCGCATCCTCCGACTCTATGCGGCGCTTCGCCAGGAAGGAGCGCTGACGCACGGCATGCCGGTTGCGGTGAGTGAGGGCTGATTGGAGGGACGCTGCATTCTTATTTCACATCCTTACACACAAGGGGGGGACCTCGCGGATGCCGATTCCCTCTTGACCCACGTCTGCTGTCCCTGTCTGAGTTTCTAAGCCTTGTCCACCTTCCTGCCTGACTACGCGCGTTCCTTGCCGGCGCTCCCTGACCTCCCCGCCACCACCGCCTGGGGCCTGGCTGCCATCTCTTAAACCATTTGACATATTTAACAGGTCCGCCATCTGGAGAGTGTGGTCCGCATGTCGGAGGCCTCTGCCCGCATGCATCTGCGCGACTACGTGGCGGACCATGACATCAACGTGGCTATCAAGTGAGTTGGCCGGCAACGGAAGGTTGAGCATGCCGCAAAACATATCAGTTTTCTATGCAGATCCTTATCCGTACGTATGTTCCTGTAGATTCGCCTTCGCGGGTACTCACTTTTAGGTTTGCGCCTCCATCCTTGCGTGCTGCTTACTTTTGTCCGTGTGAAATTTGCGCAACGCCTGGCTTCGCCTCCTGTTTCTTAAACCCCCTAACTGTTGCACTACCCTTTCCATGCTTCTATTTCAGGATGATGGTCCAATCCTTCATCGGCAGTCAGAAGTTCACGGTGCAGCAGACACTGGAGCGCAAGTTCTCGCGCTATCTGACTCTACCGCAGGACTACCACTCGCTGCTGATGAACCTGCTGCGCCAGGCACTGCGGACAGCGCAGAGGGAGCAGGCACTGGGCGGACAGCGGGCAGGAGCGCAGATCAAAATTCCTGGCAGGTGGGTGAGGGGCTTGAGGGGTTGGGCAAAAGAAACGGCTCTAAATAAGTTCTGTCGTTTTTAATTTTACATTCCACCTATTTTTCTGATCTCCTTCAGGATCTTGGAGGATAAGGCTCGTGAGCTGGAGATCTCGGACGTGGCGTCGCTGTACACGTCGTCAAAGTTCCGATCTAGCGGTTTCTTGTACGACAGCGTTGCTAATATCATTACGTACGTCTCGACTTGACGGCAGGTGTCCGCTGTCTGAGCACTAGCAACAGCTTGTGGTGGAGATTTCCGCGTGCTGCAGCTGGCGGCAGCATTATTATTGGAGGGGCAAGTTGATTGAACAATTGACAACCAGGGATAGGTTGGTGCGCCATCGCGCGTTATTTGTTGGTATCTTACATGTCCCCGAGGTAGAAGTGCGAGGTAGGACGGTGCTTACAAAGAATCTGGCAGTCCTTGAGCCCTCGGCTCGTATTGGGCAGTTTGCAGGTACGGGGAACGCACCCCACGACCATGTATAACACATATATACACACGTCCTCTAAGCTTACCACGGTGCGGGTATAACGATGGAAAGGTTTCACTCCATTGGGTTGGGAGTTTGGGGAAAAGACGAGCAGTGGCATGGCGAAGACCGTGTGTTGTTGCGATAAAGTTACAGGCACAGTCGCGTCATCATTATTATAACTTGAACAAGCGAACCTATTGGGGCACGTTGCATTGTTAGTTGTCGAGACAACTGCTTCGTTAAGCAAGTCTCCGGATTTTTTATGGTTTGCACGGTCAGACTAGACTGGCCCTAGCCAGGACCACCATCGGCCAAACGGCGAAGACGTTGGCACTCTTCCCGCTCGCCATTAATGTTTAGGACCCGATTGAGACTGATTCGTAAAGATGTATGTGAGCGGCTGCGGAACTGTTACCTGCGTGTCCCTACACATGAATGGATAACTTTACAGCGGCGTAGCTGACCGGATCATCAGCGCTTGGAATATAAGAGCTCGCACCAACACTGTGAAAGCCAGGAGAGATCCAAAGACTCACGACTTGACTGGAACTGGAAGCGGTCCCCTGTCTCACACTTCTATGTATATCATTGAGCTGGGCGGGCTAGCCGGGGCTCCAAAAGGGGCACGTGTGATAAGGGCCGCTCCCGAACTACGTCCACCACACGTATAAAAGATAGGAGCACTCATATAGGTGCGTCAATGCAGGAAAATAATTGAGTGTGGCCCAATTCTTCCTTGCATATATCGAGATAGAAGGGTTGATGGTGCAACGAAAAATCATCCGTAGATGTCGCATAAATGAACGCACGAAAAGGTGCCTGGCCGCCTGGCCATTCGGCTTTACTAGAATTTGACAGATCTGCCGACCTGGCCCGTCAATGGGGTTTGCGTTGGGTTCGCCCTCGTCTCGCCTCGCGTGTAGCGCTTGCAGGTGCGCTACCTACAGGGCCTCACTTAACCTCGTCCTGCCGCCAGCAGCGCCACCTTCTCCGACGCCTGCTCCTTCCGAGAAACCTCGCCCACCCCGGTCATCATTGGAGGTACTCGCCCGCCGGCAGCGCCATTGCTCACAATTAACGCGTCCTCTTCGTCGTACGCGTAATTGGCGATGCCATCGCCGCCCACGTAGCGGGCACCGCCGGCGCTGCGGTTGCCATGGCGGCTGCTGCTGGGACTGCTGTTGCAGCTGAGCACGCCCTCCTGTTCCCTGTCTTCCTGGCAGAAGCTGTCCTCCAAAGGCTTGCCTGCCGGAGCAAGGGAATGGAGGGGCGATGGTACTGGACGCACGAAGGCACGGCTGGAACCGCTGCTGCATACTCTGCCAACATGTGTCTCCCCCAGCTCGGCACACATGCAAATGTGTGCGGTAAACCTTACGAGCCCTCAAAGAGCCCGAAGGCGCCAGACTAAGGCTGGCCGTTGGAAAAGTTGTCCGGGTACGAATGCACGAACCAGCATTCCTTACCACACAGTCCCCAGTCCGGCACACCTAACAGGGTGCAACGTCTGCGTTCTTTCGCTCCACTACGCCTCCACAGATGGCACAGCCCCTTATGCAGATACGGTCACACAAACCAAACGATTATCGCTAGGCGTTGCCGCGAAGAAACGCATAACCCGCACCCCCCATCCAGCCTCCCTGATCACCTGCCGGTTCCGGTAATTTCAACATGGCGGCACTGCCGGCCGCCAGCAGCACCGCCGCCACCAGCAGGGGGGCCCACAGCGCCGCCTCCAGCAGGGCGCCCGCCGCGTAGGTAGTGACAAAGGAGGATACACGACCCACCGCGTTAAGCAATCCGAAGCCCGAGGAACGCAGCTGCAGCGAAGCAGCGCAGGAGCGGTTGGAGTGGTGAGACCGGGGACTGTACGGCATATCGAATGCTCACAAGCAGGGTAAACACTGTCTAGTTCCCGCACATAGACAAGCAATTCGCCTGTCCCTGCACTACCTCTGCATGCGTTGAAGAAGTGGACGATGGGCAAGCCTCCGAAAGAGTGCCATGATTCCGCCGCAAAGTCACCATTCACGGGGCATACTATGGAACGGAAATGAGCTTGTGCGAGATCCCATCAGTACATGCGTCGTGCATTTCTGCACCCGGATGATGTCTATGGTTACGCGCCCTAATCCCAATTTTCCAACGGCGCTTACTGAAGTCGGATATAGCTCCGCGGATATCATGTCCAGGCTATTCCAACCGCCGACCGACACGCCGTTGAAGACACACGCAGCAAGCAGCGGCCACACGCCCTGCGCCGGTGCCGCTGCAAACAGCAGCGCGCACACACAAGCGCCCGCCATGCAGACGCAAGCGGTAAGGCGGCGCCCCAATCGGTCCACAAGCCATATGCTGGCCAGGTTACCTGAATCGCCAGGAGGCGCCGTCGCCAGGGGTAGGACAGTTCGGGACATGAGAGGTTGTGAGGAGAGAGGCGACCGACAAGCGACTAAGTAATGAACCCGACTTGATAGCCACCGCAGCGGCGCATATCCAAGCACGCTCCGACAGTCATCAAGCACTCATTCAGCGCAACGGCGCTCATGCGCTGCTCAGCTTTCTGCAACCCGCATGAATCCACTCCTCAATACCCGCTCACCAGTCCACCTACCAGGCAGGTTCGCCAGCGACACCGCAAACGTCTCCGCGTACACCGACGTCTCCTCCGCTCCGCGCTCCTTAAAATACCGCGGCACCCACAGCACGGTGCAGTACCACCCGCCACACAGCCCAATCCAAGCCACCGCTAGCGGCACTGTGTACGACCGCAGGGGCGGGCTCAGAAGTGCGCTAAGCACCCCCGCCGCCCGCTCCGTCGCCTCGGCAGCACACCGCCGCAAAGTGTACCACATGCCGTTGCTGCTGCTGCCGGTAACCCCGGACGCGTCCACGGCCGCACTGTACGACAGGGGCAGGGCTTCGACGTGGGCGTGCCCCTCGGCATCTGTACGGAAGGCGGCCTTATGCGCTAAAATGTCCTGGTCGCGGTGGTGGAAGGAGGGCAGTGCGAAGTCCTCCGGAAGATGGGTGCCGTTGATCCGGGCGATGCGCAACAGGACCTGGCGCACAAGAGGTGGGAGCGGCGTCATAAGCACCAGCTGGAGCTAGAATGGCAAAGAGCAACCAAGCGGATTCCCCGATCTTCCTGTTTTTATCCTTGCTCCCATCTGTCCCGCTCCCTTCCCGGCGACTGGGTAGCTGGCGGTGACAACCCCCCAACCGTATTTAACTGTTTCCTTGAGTGCTTCAGGAGAGAGTTTTTATCCATCTTTATGAATATCCTGTAATTCGCCACCTCTTCCGAAATATTCGCAGCCTGCAGGTTTCCATCCTCCAGCCCCACCTGCTCCGCCTCCCTGGCCCGCCCCATGATGGTGAGGTATCTCGGGCTCTCCGGAACCAGCGCCGCCATTAGCAGGCAGCAGGCGGTTGCCGGCACTGAGGCCGCCAGCACAAACACCCGCCAGCCCGCCAGGGGGATGAGCAGCCAGCCCATGGAGGCCGAGTAGAGGGAGCCCACCATCCAGAAGGAGGCGAGCATGGCCATGAACTTGCCACTGCGGGGCCCCGGGGGTTGAGAGGGCCGGGCAATGAGGGCCCAGATCTGCTGCTTCTCCCTTGTAAGTACTTATGTATGTATGTATATATGTATGTATGTATGTATGTATGTATGTATGTATGTATGTATGTATATATGTATGTATGTATGTATGTATGTATGTTTGTTTGTTTATGTATGGCTTAGATTACACTGTGGGCCGCGAGAGCCGGGGGCCGAAGCCGAAACACAGCGCAAGGGTCGGGAGCACACAGCACAAGTCGGTTAGTCTTGTGTGCTCCCGACCCCGACTCATATGTATGTTTATGTATGTATGTTCATGTATGTATGTATGTATGTATGTATGTATGTATGTATGTATGTATGTATGTATGTATGTATGTATGTATGTATGTATGTATGTATGTATGTATGTATGTATGCCCAATTTCATGCGCGACGCAGGTGAGTGCTCGTGCTTGGGCTTCAGCCATCGCGTTCGCATGCGCCCTCCCACTCCCTTCTTGGAACTCCCATCTCCCCACCCATGTACCTTGCAACAACCCTCCGCACCCCGCCACCCACTCACCGGCTGCTAGGCGGGCAGAACTCGCTCATGAGTGAGAACACCACTGGCATGGACCCACCCACCCCCAGTCCCGCAACCAGTCTGAGGACCATCAGCTGCCACAGACTGGTGGACGCGGCGGACAGCGCTCCGAAGACCGCGTTGACCGCCAGGGCCACCAGCAGGGAGTGCTTGCGGCCAATGACGTCACCGATGAAGCCCCAGCCCAGACCGCCCTGGCAGCAGCAGCGGCGCGCGGGGGAGGGTGGCAGAGTGTAGGACTATGCCGGGCTGCGCGTGTGGAAGGGAGGTGCCATGCAGCTTGTTCGTTTGGCTATAGTTTGAGACGGGCAAAATATAACTTTTCTTGCGAGAGGACGTTGTTGCTATTTGGAATGTGGCTTTTGAGGGGGAGGAGTTGGACTACGGCAACTGTGGCTGAAGGCAACGGGGATTTCATGGAATAGCGCGTTCCTTTTTGCTCTGTTGGCTCTACCTTCATCCGCAGACTTGACCTCCTTCGAGCGTGAATGCAACCCATGCACCTACGCCTTGCATGCGTTGCGTCAGGGCTTCCATCTCACCGTGTTTGGGGCACGTGTCAGATTGATATAAGTGATTTGGTGCTTTGATATGAGGTGGGTATGTGTGGGGGAGTTTAGGAGCTTACCAGGAACATGCCCACAAAAATACAGGCGTTGAGTGCGCCCGTACGGTGTGCCGTAAGTTGAAGCTCTTGCTCCGCTGCCGTGCCCAGCAGCCCTACCGACAGAATCTCCACCGCATCAGCCGCATTGGCCAGGCCGCAAACGCTAAGAACCATCCACTGGAATGGCCCCGTTCCCACCTGCAATGGGTGGGGTTGCAAGGTTACCAAACCAGGAGTGTAATGGCACAGCTCGGCATTAAATCCCTTACATGATGAAGGGCCTCTTCGATTGACATTGTAACGGGGTTGAAGCGGGGTAAGGGCAGCGAGACGAGCATGCAGGTTGTTGACTTCGTTGTCCTGGCCAGAGGCTAATCCATATGTAACGCCAGTAAAGATTGAGTTAGGTTGAGTTCTGCGCGCTAAGGCTACTTTCTGTCATGCGTTCTGAGCCAACGACTGCCCTGTCCGCTTTTGCTGGCCGATAATGTGAGTAGGTAGCTGAACATTAAGTAGAACAACGTGTTATTCTCTGTATCTTAAGGCAGCCCGAATGCATAGGCCGCGGCGATGTAGTTAGTGTTCCTATGTGGTTGGACTAACTGACGGCCAACCACTGCCGCTGTTAACCAGGAAGGCATCCAGGCATGAAGAAGACACGAATCACGGGAATCTTTTTAAGCAAGTTTTGTGACGGGATTATGCTCTAGAATTGAGCGTGATATCCAAAGAACGAAATTGATTAGCAGAGTACAGTGTCTATGATTTAAGCATGGCACCGGCTTTTGATTAGCTACATGGATGCAGTGAATATATCGTTGATGCGTTTGAACCAGGGACATGAGACATCAGGCCGATAGGTAGACCTCTAACTCTCCCAGAAGCGGCATATCGTCGCCTTTAAAGTTCAACACCTGCATAAGATTTCTTGGATTTTCGAAATGGGTGGTCTCGAGTTCGTCGGCCGGGTGCGTGACCCATCTCAGCTTGGTCGCGGCTTACTCGGTGTTTACGTCGCAATGGCGGTTGTTGCAGGTCGTTTCAAACCGCATGCAAAAAACTGTAGTCGTGGCTGTCAGCTACGTGGTTTGGATCCCCAAGTACAAGGTGTACCAGAAGCGGGTGGCACGCCATAAGGTAAACTGCACGAGGCCGGGCACAGACACAGGGGGCTGGGCACGGGCAGGTTGTGCCAAATCATTTGCACGGGGACATTACGCAAGGCTTGCGGGATTGCTTCTTGGAAAAAATCGCGCACTGGGTATTCCTGGTTCAGGGGCGGGTTGACATTACCCCACCAAAGCCGCTGGAGTGCCAAAGTTGCGGTGCAATCCCTCATATCCTGGTAGTTTGCTTACCTAGCAGCCATGGAGTCCTTCTTGCGGCTCAGCTTTCCAATCCAGACGCGACACACAAACTGCCACAATTGGAAGGCTTCACCCCAAACGGCAATGGGACCACACACCCCTTAGCACTTGCACCGCTTTGCCCAACCCGCACTCTTCCGCTCCCAGCTCCTGCTTGCCTGGCCTTTCCGTCCCACCCCAGGCGCGTGACGAGAGCCGATCCCTAGTCATTGGAGACATAGTGCGTATACGCAAATCAAGGTAGGAACAGTACCGTAGCCCCTGGTCGGTGCGGCAGTGGTGAATACCTACCGAGCGGCGAGCACCGCTGCTTCCCCCGGCCTGTTGTTGGGTCCCTCGGGACCGGGATGGGCGCTCCCTGCAGTATTGTGGCGGAAGGTGTGGTAGGAGCTTGTGTCCTGGCCATTGCTTGCGGCGTGGGCTGCAAAAAGGGGCGGAAGGGGGAAGCGCACAGGGGGAACCGATGAAGACCCTTCTCCCAGCATGATGATAGCATTCAGGTCAACCTACCTCCCTAGCCCCTGCCTGTCCTTCCCCTGCGCGACAACCAATCCAACCCGGGGTGCACCGTACTGCAGAAAGTATTCCAAGGAAGTGTCGTACGCGGTCGTGGACACCCTTCGCCGTGCCAACGTGTACGACGGTACTGCGGCAGCAGCGCTGGTGGCGGTGCGCGACTCAGCGCGGGAGACTGATTGGGTCCAGGTGGCGGAGCGGCGGTTGGCGGAGGCGGGCGCACGGCTCGCCAAATTGCGGGAAATGTACGAGCGGGAGATCGGCGGCGGCGTATCGCTCAGTGGTGGCGTTCTGGCGGTCTCTAATTCAGGGGTGCAGGGGACCGGCAGCCTGGGGGCGACGGCGGCGACATCAGCTCAAGGGGGAGCTGAAGCACAGGGAAAATGATACGTACATGGCTTAGTGGCTTGTACGGCATCCAGCAGAGATAGCGGCGCACGGCAGCGCAATGCAGGCTACGGTCACGCTGGGAGAGCATAGCGTTTGGCGTACTGCTCGGAGGTTTCATCCCAGGTCAAGGCAGGGGAGGTGACCGGCTGTTTTCCAGACTTTGGCAATTGCAGGAAGGAGAGATGTGTAGCTCGGCAGCTGTCAACGAGATCCTGAGAATAAGGTGGAAGGGGAGGAGGGGGAGCAGCGCAGCGGCTGTGAGTGACGACCTGCCGGGAGGGGGTGCACGAGGGGGGCCATTCCTCCTTCCCTGTGCTGCCTCAACCCCCTGGGTCGCAGAAGGCAAGGTGCGGGAATTCTTTTTCCTGGTTTAGGTCCCGAGAGGGGAGGAGACCTGCGCAGTTTCGTAGTCCTACCTGAACGCAACACCAGGCGGTGTCGAGGCCAGAGATTTGGGGTGGGGGGGAGGCGAGGAGGGTGCTAAGGAAGGGGGAAAAAGGAACGGACAGCTGAGCGGTGTTCGCAAGACGACCCTCGGCGGTTTATGAATCACCTGACAGGATGATAGTAATGGAAGAATCGGAACGGGACTAAGTAGGAGGTGTGCGAAATGCATATAACAACCATGTAAGACCGTGGCAAGCTATGTGACCCGTGCAAGCTTAGCGAAAATGTACTCACGTGGCATCAACACACACACACACACACAGACACACAGACAGACAGAGACAGACAGACAGAGACAGACAGACAGAGACAGACAGACAGAGACAGACAGACAGACAGAGACAGAGATTCCCGCCTAAGGTCACAGGTCCCCAAGGCTCGGGGTCGCTCCGCACCTCGCCACTTACCCACCTCTACACATCACATCCCTGCGGGCTCCAGCCGCACTGAGTTCATTTCCATCGCGAGGCAGTCACATCCCTGGACCCTTTGTTGCTATGTCACAATGAACCGCGATCTGTATTCCTAGCAAACCTCAGGCTTACATGCCATACATATGCATATATGCACCATTGCGATCAACGTTGCTACCGAGTCAACAAAACCCACCAGCCCCAACCGCACCACCCGGCGGTGATGGATGATCCGGCTGCCAAGCCGCTGCCTATACGCGATGTAGGCCAATCAGGCACAGCAGCAGTGACACCCGCACCGCCCGGCTTGTGAGGGAGCCATAGCTGTGGGAAATAGTACCTAACAATTTTTCGCTGCTATGACGATAACACAGAATATCAGTTTCTGTAGCCAATTGTCGTTCATATGTCGCAGTTAGTTTTAGTCGTCTCCAATATCGTGGGTTTTAGCAGTATGCGCGATTTTGAATGGCCCGGGGGGAGTGGCGGTTGCTCCGGCACCCGGAGGAAGCATGAAAACGGATGATACAAAGCTTGGGGTGGTCAATCGGACAGACAGTCACCTACAGTCATTACTATACCTAACCTTGCAGTTAAGTGCGCTGCATCCATGATGATGGCGCCAGCTATACCGTTTTATACGCTAAGCATAGTGAATTCATTATATGGGACAATCATTTGTCCAACTACCATGGAAGGACGCATGTCGCATACTCTATCACGCATGTGGCGAATCCCGTGGGATAATGAACATAATGAACGTACGGAACATAACAAAACTTGGGCGTTTTTGGCATTAGACGGTTTTCCGGCGTTCCCCATGCATCGAGCGCAGCGTAATCGTGGGAATGCAGTTGCGGTTTGCACGTGTGGAGTGCGGATGGCTTAAGGAAATCGTCCTCACCATTTTAGGGACTGTACCGTGGTGGTAGCTCTGAAAGAGGCCATTGAAGCTGGATTATGGTTCGTGCGCCTGTCGGCCGTAAGTGCACTGAATTTGGGTCATATGTTGTATCGAGGGGATCTGGTTTCCTACCTTACCCGGACTGCCATAAAAAGATATGCGATCGCGGTGGTCTTGGATTTATGGGCACGTCATACTGGTTTTGCGGTAAAATGGCATGCTCCCAAAAGACTGACAGTCTATGCTGTCGGATCACCCGTTCCTTGCCGTAGACCAATCTAACAAGCTCATTTGCCATAGACCCGGTAGTATAAAAACTTCATCTTTTCTGTCGTTTTTGTCGTAATTTGTGTGCTAGCTGAGGCTATATCGTCAGTGAAGCTAGTATGCTTGACCACATAAGTTTATATGGCCTTAAGGCCCACAGTGCTGTGCGGGTGGCGCTCATTTTAGGGTGTTGCACACGAGCCGGTCGGGCTCCACTGTAACAACCAATTTAGGCACCTGACATAGAGTCCAGCTGTTGAGTAGAATGCGGTAGTGTTGACAATGCCACGCGTGCAGCTATTGCCTATTCGTCCAGTGGCACGACATGGTTTTCCCCTTAATCCTACCCAACCACGCCGCAATGGCGCATAAGGGGGCCACGCGGTTTATGAGTTGTGATATGCGAAAAACGGCTACCGCTACCGACTTGTCCCGACTGTAATGAAGCTGGAAGCAGACTCCCCATGTAATAAATGTATGAAACTGTGTGTTGGGTAAGGCCCTGTAGTGCAACCGTGCACAAAAAACTCTCCCTCCCCAATCCCCCCCTTTGCACGTAAAAAATGGCCAACGTCGTCACGACAATGCTGAACTCGTAAAGGAGCGATCCGAATGGGCGCGCTGCGGTTGCTCCCATTCCCGCCATTCAGGTAGGGCGCGAAAGTCATGCAGCAACATGTGCTCCACTTCCATAACCTCCGGTTACTGGCTTCAAATCCATGGCGGAACCGTGGACGGAAAATGTGAACCGGCGGGCGAGCGCTGTATTCTCGGGGTCACGTAGATTTGAGTCAAAGTGGTATATTCCCCCGAGCCCGGCCGGTGCACACCTTGGAGCGTAGCTTGGTTTAGCTGCGCCGTAAAGGAAGTAATCTGCTGCTGCATTTGGAGGGGCGTCGTCGGATCCGGGGCTGTGGGTGGGTGTTGTAGAGTCGGGCCGGCGTTGATATATGCCGGAACCTGAGGGCCGGAAGGAAGCCCAGGCTGCGACATATCCGTCAACTGCCTGGTGTAAATTGTTGTCGGATCTGTTGTCGGCATTATTCCTAGTGTAACGGACAACAATGCCGCCAAAGCATGAACGAGATCCGCTTCAATGAATCAAGATCCTTCATGGTGCTAGTATTCTTCTTGTTTTTGTTGCTCAGTGCGTGCTGATCAACAAAACGGGTCTCGCGCCTCTGGCGCGCTTTCTCTAACTACACCGCTGTGCCTTCGGTTCGCCAGCTAGACCCATCAGGTAGAGTGCAGTGGAGAATGTGAAACACTAGCACCATAGATTTAGCCCACCTATATGAAGCATATTGCATAGTGCTAGTGGCGCCGAATGTTCCGGTATCGCTAGGCCTGACTCCGCTGGTGGAGGCAACTCACAGCTATACTGCATAGATAACTGGAATGTCACAGACTGGCAATTCCTACAGGGCTTCTGCGACGTAGTTTATGCCCCATGCTTTCTCTGGAGCGGGTCAACAACCGCGGGTTACAGCAGGTGGCCGAAGTTGGCTGGTTAGAGCCGGGGGAGGGGGGATCGCCCGTATGCATCAGCTCATAGCAGGCGCATCGTGCGACACCAGCCATGGCACAGTGTGCCGCGTCAGCCTATACCGAACAAGCAAGAACTGTGCATGGAAGAGCCGATGCACTCCCCTCCTCCACATCCATCAGAATGCTGTCGGCCTGGGCTTGCACGGTGGCCTTATCTGCAGCCCCCATCATCTGACGCATGTGTGCCTGTTGGTTCAGGCAGGCAGCGGATTGGGCTAGCACCCATTTGAAGCCTGGCCACCAATTGAGGGGTCCTCTGGGTCCATGTGTGCTGTACTATGTACCCAATGATTGAGGGTATTGCTGAGATCCCCGTGGTCCAGGAATGGGTTTGGGGCAGTCCCGGCCCTGGCATTGTTGCGCCATAGCATGGAAGGTGGTATGGGTGATGTGGTGGTCCACCGGGGTCGCAGATGCTGTATTGCTGCCATAGTTCGCCACCGGCTCCATGGTGTTGGACACTGGAATATGATTAATACAGGAGACGCCCGCTGGATGGACGGCTGCCATCCCTGCACTTGCCGCAGCCCACAGCCCGATCTGGCACTCCTTGTTGGTGGAGTTACAAGTTCAGCTCGTATGGGTAGTTTTACAGGTATGGGGTCACGCACCCCCAACCATGTAACACACACACACACACACGTTACAAGTTCCGCACAAGTTCGGGGCTGTCCATAAAAGCCGGGGGGCCCATGGACGGTAAATCGTTTTTAGTGCGGTTACATAGTGGACCATCATTGTCCCTCGTTCACTTGCGCACATAGCGCCTTAGAGCAACGTGCCGGGTCTCCCAGACCTCTGAGAGGAACTTGGTGATTGCCAGGGGTGGGGCCTCGGTCATAATCGTGCACATGTCGCGCCCTGTGCACATGTCACGCCCTGGTGGAGCTGTCAAACCCAGATTCCCGAGAATGTAGGCAGCAACACCGCTGCCACTTCACCCTGTTCACAGCAATGGACTGTGGTTTATGTTTGGACCCTCACGATTATCTATTCAGGTTTGGACCAAGTGGTCCGGGCCGGGGCGCCTGCAATGTGCTGGCCCTGCACAGTTGGGTACGTGATGCCGGCATGTCGTCGAGCTGTCACGGGGTGGCCATGGTGGCGGCGGTTATGGTAATGCTGGCGGTGGTTGCGGCAGTATATCCGTAACACGCATGTGTATGTGTGTCAAGCTAAGTCAACACTACCAGGAGTTTTCAATCTTGTTGTCGGCACCAGTCGATCGGGTGATCGGAAGCCCATTGGGTGCCCTGACGGTGTAATCCGCCCTGCCATCATGGTGCGGTGCGGCGTGTGTGGGGTTTTCGTTGGGTTTCCGTAGGTTCAATACTTGTTTTTGTACAAAAAAGGGCGATACCAGGGATGTTGTGCATCACCTGACATGATGCTCATCGACACACCTGATAACAGCTGCACCCCTGCGCCCGACCAGTGCTTTTCCGTACATCTTGTAAAGCAAATCAAGGACTGGTCAACTCCTGTGGTGATAAGAATAGATACCGAATCCGTGTGCCACTGCCCCTAGAAATCTGATTTGTAAAGGCGTTGTCGGTCGGTTAGCTGCAACGGGTGCGTTTGCCATCACTTCAACATGCTGCTCCGGGGTTCATGGGATGAAGGACGACAGACAGGGCTGGATAATGCGGCACTGTTGTACAGTATCAGGGTCCTGACGACTCTAGAACGTTGTGCTGCTTTGCCAAGGAGGGCTTTCTTCGACTTGTCGTCAAGAAACATGAACGACAGTTGCGTCTCGGTGGCGACATGATAGCAAGCTTCCGCAAGAGAAATGTCGGCTGGAGGCGTTTTGGTAAACAAAGCGCTTTGTCTAGCCGTTGACTAGGTCGCGCTGGCTTAAAAAAAGCTGTGCGTCTGGGCCCCCAGCAGCCTCTACCGGTACATGGCACACCTAAACTTCCCCTGCATCCGTATTTGGAATGACGCGATCCCGCCCTGGACAGTCACGAATGTGTCGCCCTGTACCCGGCCCCCTGTCGGACGTACCCCCTGCTCCCCTCACATTACATGTTGCACGTCTCCACCGGTTAACTGGCTGCGTGGTGAAGTGTTTTACAAACAATTTATGGACCCTGGCCGCAGTAGCGCTGGTCGTAGCCGCCGCTGCCACAGGCCACAACCGTCCCTGTCCCCACCCACAGCATCGCCACCCAGGCAGCTGTACTTGGGAGGAATGTTTCCCTCAGACTTGCAGTTCCTTTCACCCGCCTGTCAGCCACGCCCACCTCTCCACAAACCTACCAGGGCCCCGGGGTGTGCCCCATACGCTCCAGAGGAGTCTTACGTGAGTACACCTGCTTGTCGTACTGGTCAATCAGTTGCAGCAGCTCCTCCAGGACAGTCACCTCATCCTCACCGCTAGGAAGCAGGCCGGGCCATCCTCGGCCCCCCTCCGGCAGTGTCCTTCCTGAGGCAGCAGACCCCGCCTCCACCAGCGCTACTGCCGCATCTGGGGTGCCTAAACTCAGTGCCGCTATCCCGCCCTCATCGGCCCCAGTTAGCTCCCCCAGCCGTGTGCGAGCCGCCGCCATCAGAGCTGCGGGCGTGGTCATGAAGAAGGACGGCTTGCCGCCGCCTTGCCCAATAGCACCAGTAGCAGTGGCGTCATCGGGTAGGACCTGCAAGACAGTACAAGACAGTACAGCCATACGGCACGGCAGACGGGTTCACGGGGTTTCGTGGTTTGGTCGTGAGATTGCGGGAAGGCACCGGTACGTCTACGCAGGACAAACACTCTCGTCAGCGGGAGTGAAGGTGGCACCGCGGGGATCGGCCGCGCAGGTGATCTAGCTCGAAGCTGCCCCATGTTCGCTTATTGTTCGTGCGGGTGGTACCTGCAGCCCTGGCGGCGAGAAGGCCTCAGGCAGTGAGTTGGCCCTCTCCTCGGGGCTCCCCATCTGTCGCAGCAGCGCCCGCAGCACGGCGGAGGCTGCGGACGGGCCGTCGTCGTCAAAGCCCATCAGCCGCTGTCGTACTCGGGCCACAGCGCCCGCTGCCAGGTCTGCATAAGCCTTGTTGTACTGCAGCGCGGCAGTGCCAGCAACAGCGCGACAGCAAGTAGTTTCACCACAAAGGAAGTCAGGGGGACGGTACAGGACGCTGTTATGTGGAGGGAATAGCAGCGGGGGCACGAACAGATTCAGACACACGGCAACATGTGCCATCAGTCGACGGCTGGCAGTGCCTCCTCACACTTCCACACGCAGACCGCAAAACTCTCACAACCTTACAGCGCGAAGCGTATGGGCCGGAAACTTGAGCCATCCATCAATCCCGTACAACCTGCACGACAGTCCCAGGCAGCAGCTCGCATACCTTGGTGAACTCCTCAATTCCACTGCGGGCAGACACCCGGCGGGGTCCCGTGCCGCCGCCACCACCGCCCCTCAACGACTCGCGCAGTTTCCTCTCCTCCTATAGTGCGGTAGAGGAGCACGACAGCGATGTACAACGGAGCCCGTTCTATGACTGATCCATAGAGGCGCATGGGCGGCAAGTTCAGGTGCACCAGGCAGCCCTTGCATATGGGCGGCCCTGGGGAGGGCCGGCAGCCGGCACATCAGCCCAGCCGCAGCATCTGCTCAATTGAACTGTGCCTGGGAATGTTGGGTGCTAGCGAGGGGCGGAGGCCAGGGCCTTCCAGCTAGTGAGGCGCATCGGTTCCGGAGCCCATCACTGGCGCCCCACACGCCCACCACCTGACGCCCCACCTCTCACCCCAGCCACCCAGCTAACTCCCCACTCACCTCCTCACCCAGGCGGTACAGTTGCTCCAGCGGCACCCCGGGAACCACCTGGACGGCAGCAGCCGTAGCAGCGGTCGCAGCGCCAATTGCGGTTTCAGCAGTAACCGCGGCAGCAGCAGCAGCAGCAGCAGCAGCAGCAACGGCACCAGTGGCAGCTGGAAATGCAGCGCAGGCGCCCCGGGAGCGCATCTAGCTCTTTTCCCCCCTTCCACTTCTCAACCCCCACCTCACCTCACCTGAAGCCACTCCTCAATTCCCACCCGGCGAAGGAGCCCCATCTCCCAATCCTCACCTCCGGCGCTTCAGCCCCCGTCTCTTCCCGCCACTGCCTCAGGTTGCCGTACGCCAGGGAGCTGGCCAGGCTGGGTAGCAGCGTGCGGTTGGACTGCTCCTCTGAATACAGGGCGTGTCGGGCACGAGAAGAAAAGGGCACGAGAAATGACCCACGATGGAAATAACGTTAGGGCGACCCGAGGGGGCTCGCCAGGACAACAAGGACGAAGTCCCCTCCATTCAGTGCATAAGCAGGGATGAGATGTAGGCTCCAGGCGCGGAGAGGAGCCCGGGAATAGCGCATAGGGGGTGTTGCGGGAATGAATGAATACGTGTATTAGCCATGAGGACAGCCTTGAGCAAGGGGCATTGGAACGGAGATGGACCCAATCAGGCTCCCAACGGCGGGCCCGGGTTCGGATGGGCGGGTGGGCGGGAGGGTGGGTGTATGATCCTTCCAAGTGGCCAAGTGCGCCATCTTTACCCACCAAGATTCCACTCAGTCACCGGGCGCGACCTGTGCCTGAACCTGTAACTGTGCCTGTATTTACAGCCTGTACTACAGCCTGTACTACAGCCTGTACAGCACGTGTACGTGGTACGCATTCCCCGGTCCCCCGCGCGGGGAACCCGTCCGCACTCCCATCCGAGGCCCCACCGGTTTGGGTCACATTGATCCCGGTCCCCTTCAGGGCGCACCCGTCCACTCCCGCATCATCGTCAGCTCCTGACCCAGTCGGGACAGCAACTCGCGATCTATTGCACGCAGACCTGGCCTCCGTTCCTGGTCCCGTAGCCAAAATAGGAAACCTACGTCCAGCAGCTGCGAGGGCCGCCGGTGGGCCTCCACCCGGAGCTGCTGTGGGGAGAGCGGGGCCAGCTCCGACAGCAATGCCTGGAGGGATCCAAATTAGGCACAGCCCGGCGGCCCGCACGCGGAGTAATGCATTGCAAGTGGAAGTGGTTTCGGAGGGCAGTATGGATGTCCGTGCCTTGCACGAGGGTCAGGAAGGGAATAGGGATCCAGGAAGAATTTCTTCGTTCTGTTCCATGCTGGCAGTGCGTAAATTTATAGAACCTTATGGTTGAACGCGTTGCAAGTAGGGGCCACGGTTCTTGTTATGCGCAACCCCATCTAGCCCGCGCTCATTTCCTGTACCTGATAGGGTGCATGATCAGGCGCCACAGCAGAAGGGAGTTGAGGTGCGGGCTCAGCCGGCCCGCTGCATGGGCATACGGTTCTCGTCTGGCAACTGGGACGGTGCCCAGGTCCCACGGCTAGCGAGAGGCGATACCATTCTGCCAAAATAGCTCGCCTTGCACGTGTTTCAAACAAGCGTGCTGGGCCAGACCGCCGAGTTGCGACATTTGCGCTTCTCATCAGCTGGCGTTCAACCGAGCAGCATCACCGCCGATAAGACGTAAAATTATAGGTACTTTGGGTTTGCATCTAGCATGGAAGCTGCAGAGTGAACTCTTGGAAGCGGTCTGTAAACTTTTGCCGCGTACAAATCAAGGACGTGCGCGAGTCTACATTATGCCGTATAAGCGGAAACATACGGAATGAAACGACCAGCATACGAACGTGTACCGGTATACACGTGTGTATGTGTGTGCGTGTTCTTTGGGGCCGCCGTTTTACCGTACCTAGAATCGCACAGAGGACGCTATAGGCGGCTGCTACCAATAGGCTGATTCCATTCGAAGAGGGTGTTGAGTCATGCGAAGAAAAAATCCAGGGCACACCTGTTCCGTCACCATGGTTCACTCATGAATTTGCGGAACATAGGTTGTAAGGGGACAACTGTGGTTGCAACCAAACTGCCGCTCTCACAGCGTGCCGTGTTTAGGCGCTCCAGTGTTTACGCACACCAGGTAGCCTATGAAATCTACTTATGACATGCAGATAAGCAGCGCGCTGAGAAGCAAGTTCCCCAAGGGAATTTACGGAAGTGGGCGCCAATAGCAATTTCACGGTGGTAGGAGGGACGGATGGATGGGGCCTTAGTTTGGCTTTGCTTATGGGCGCCGCTGTCCTCAGGACTTAATCATCCACACCGTCACTGTATAGACGGCCCGGCAAGAAATGCCAGTTAAGGACAAAGGAATGACGGCCTCAAGTGACACCAAACAGAAGAAAGCGCAGGAGCCATTTCCACCATTGAGCCGGGATTGCAGAAGCTTTGCAGGAGGGTAAGAGGGTGGGGAGGGCAGTGGAGGGCGGTGCGTTGGGGGACCCGCGGGGTAAACTGCGGTGGATTGGGTATGGTGGTGGTCACATGGACGATGTTGTCATCGTCGATGCGACGCGGATGGAGGCGTAAAGCGAGGCTGTACAGTCCTCTTCGCAGCTCAACGTATAAGCTGAAAACTGCCGGTTCCGTACACTTTGCAAGGGGCCTTGAAACGCCTTTCTATTTAGAGTAATTGAAAGCCTTATTCATTTGAGATGTACTCTTAACGTAGCAGGAGACCTTTAATCGTCAGGGACTTTCAATCGTCGGAGACTTCTGGACAAGTCTGTCAAAGAGCACCAGCGGCACAGCTATGAAGATTATTACAAAGAACGATGATGGCAACAACAGAAACCAGGTCGGCACATAAAGAGGATTGCGGTAGTACGATAGCAAGGACAGCGCCTCGACACATTGGACTACAACATTTCTTGTTATAGGATTGCCTGCCGAACTCGTAATTCGGATCCGGTTCATTATATACCCAGAATTTCCATTGTCAGAAGGCCAAAGGCTACCCATGAGCTCTGAAACAGGATACAGTAATGGCTCGCTCATATATAATGGCGAAACCATTACCCATCCAAACCTATACGTACGCAACCTTCCGCCTAATATGGACCAGACCGCCGTCGAGGTCTTGTTCCGGCGGTTCGGCTCGTGCACGGGCTGCAAGTTCTTCAAAACTGCGGCCGTTCCCTACGCGTTCCTGAGGCTTAGCACTCCAGCAGAGGCGTTGGCTGCTATTAAGGCCATGAATGGCACGACAGTGTCGGGCAGGATTATTCTCGTTAAGTCCGCAGACGCGGATGCGACATATGATGCCCCAAATGGTGAGGTTGGGTCACTATAGCCGATGATTAATATGTGTATAAGCACCTGTTAGAGCAACTATGATCCGGCCCCGAAGCAGCGTGCCCAGCTGTGGCGCATTCCCTCCATATGCTCCCCACGCAGAGAACCTTTACGTGCGCAACATCCCGGTATCCTGGAACGAAGAGGACATTCGTCAATTTTTTGAGAAATTTGGGCCCTTGGTTAGCGTTCGCGTGCTGCCACCCATATCCACCAGCGTCGGCCAGGTCGCCATGGTGCGCTTCCAGCAGCTGGAGCACGCGCAGGTGGCGCGTGACGGAGCCAACGCCACCATTCCGCATGGTGAGCATCTCCCCCTCAACGTCAAGTTTGCGGATAACCAAGATGAGAAGGCGCGCAAGCAGCATAGCCGCTTGGTCAAATCCACAAGCGCCGGCTCTGGCCCGGGCGGACATATTAGTCCGTCCCAGCGCTACGCCCCGTACCCTGGTGCCAGCGGACCTCCCGGGTATCCGCCCGGGATGGGCCTGCCTTTTGGGCCGCCGGGGATGGGCCTGATGGCGACAACTGAGTCAGGTGAGATGATGCCTTTCGTTCCTGGTGGGCCGGGGCCGCACCCGCCAGGTGCGATGATGCCGCCACCAGACATCATGGGGCCGATCGGCATGCCGCCGCCGCCCTGGGCGCCCACCGACCCCGCCGCCATGTTCGGCGTGCGGCCACCTCCACCGCCACCTCCACGGATCCAGCAGCACCCGCAGCCCAGGCCGCAGCAGTTGCCGCCCCCACAGCAGCAGCAGCAGCAACAGCCTCCCGTCTTAGCGATTGCTGTGGATGCAGCGTCAGGCCAGCTCATGCTGCCAGCGGCGGTGGGCCCTGGTAGCCCTGGGCTCATGCACCCGCCGCAGCAGCAGCCGCTGCCGGTTCAGGTCGTGCCGATGCAGCCGGTGCAGGCCACGCCCTCTGGACAAGTACCGCCACAACCGGCTGTGCAGCCTCAGCAGCAGCCACCGCGGCCTGCGCTGCAACAGCCGAAGCCTCAACAGCCGCCGCAGCCTCAGCCGCAGACAGCAGGGCCCCAGCACACAGGCCAAGGAGTACTTCCTCAGCCACAGCCCCTGCCAGGTGAGAGGAGTGGACAGGGGCAGCCTATCCCACTGGCTGGTGGGGCCGTATGCCGGTATAAGCGGCTGGGGGATCCTGCCGCAACGCTGGTGTTGCGTTGGCTTTGGGCGTGGTCGGATCGACGGATGGCTTTAGCCGCTGCAGATAACCTGTCCTGCTCTCCTTGCCACTCTTCACCCATCTTTCTGCTTGCCCACAGGCATCTATTTGAACCTCCCATGCGCCTCGACTGTTACATTAGACCGCTTTGACCTTTCTGCAAGATAGGCTTGATTAGGGTCTCTGTCGCGCCGTCCTTACCTTTCCCTGGCCTTGCTGTATCAGGAGCATCGCCAGGAGCACCGCCGCAAGCGACGCACGGAACCTACCCTGTCCCCGCCGGCGCCCCTGTCCCCGCCGCCGCCGCCGCTCCCACCGCACCGCCCGCTTACCCGGGATACGATGCTCAAAGCGCACAGCATTATGCACAGCAGCCGTACGGCGCCGCACCGTATGGTTATCCCGGCTATCCATACTCCCAGCCGCCAGCGCAGCAGCAGGAGGCATACGATACACAGGCGGCGGCGTACTATGCCGCGTACTATGGTCAACCTCCTCCATCGTACGGTCAGCCCCCGCACCAATCCCCGGCAGCAGCGGCTGCTGGGCAGCCGCCACTGCCAGGGGGACAGGCCCCGGGGCAGCCGGCAGGAGCGATGCCAAATGATCCCTACCAGGCCTATTATTACTACCAACAGTACTACGGCGCAATGAATCAGCCGCCACAGCCGCAAACACAAGCACAGCCACAGCAACCGCAGCCACAGCAACCGCAGCCACAGCAACCGCCGCCGCAGCAGCCGGCGTATTCGTCACAGCCGGTTCAGTCTAACGGTGTCACCAGCCATGGAATTGCCACGGTGCCAGGACAGCAGCTGGGTGTGGCCTCTGCCAGCGGAGCCGCCGGTGCAGCCGCGACGACGATTACACAGCCACAACAGCTCCGGCCACAACAAGCCGGGGGACCTTGGCAGGTGCAGACGTTGCCACAGCAGCAGCAGCAGCTGCAACCGCAGCAAGGGCAGCAAACGGCGATGCTTCCAGGAGCCCAGAAGCCGGCTCAACTGCAACAGCAGCAAACCGTAACGCCAACGGTGACGACGTCACCCGGGCCATCTCAGCCCGCCGCACACGCAAACGGCCAGCCAGCTGCAGCCCCTGGTACCGCAGCGACCAGCAACGTCTCCACTACCGCCACAACTTCCAACGGCGACGTGCCCGGAGGCTTCAAACCCAGCTGCCGCATTATGATATCCAATCTGCCGGGCGGTTTAGAAAAAGTCCACATGTACGAAAGCTTTTCGGCGTACGGTGCCATTCTGGCAGTGCACGTGACTAACGGGTTTGGTGTTGTGCAATACGCCGAACGCGAATCGGCATCTCGCGCGGCTGTGGCGATGAACGGCGCACTGTTACGCGGCACCCGGATCAAGGTGGTGATTCCGGATTCCTAGAGGTGAGGCGGGACAAACCAAATCTGATTAAAGGTATGGGGGGGAAAGGAGCGGCAGTCAGGGATGGACGCTCAGACGCGGCGCGAGGCAGGAGTAGTAGCTACAAGCGAGCTCTGGTCAGATCGGTAGTGGCGTCATCATGGACGCATGTAAAGTGTGGGCAGCAACAGTAGCAGCTGCAGTAAACTGCGTCAACAGCAAGTGGAGCAGCAGTCGAAGCAGCGACAGTCGTATCGCCACATGCAGAGGCGGATCGGCAGCTGAGACTCCAACGATGGAGAAGGGCACAACGTAGCAGCGCCAGGACAGGGCTTTTGGGTCAAGAAGACCACTGCATCATTTTCAGAATCCCGGTTTCAGAACTTGACTGGACTTGGTCAACAGTTGTAGCGCATGCAGCCGCGTTCCAGTTGAAGACGAACCCGCAATGTAAGTTGGGCAGGCAGCTGCCAGGCCGTACGGCCTATGGCTTGTTGATTGTTGAATACGTCATCTAGCGACAATCTTAATAGTCATACTTGTCTGACGTTGTCCAGGGAGGGCAGATGGGGAGTTAGTTGCGTGTTGTCGCTATGGTTCTGGGGGCCACAGGCTTTCCAAACCATACACGGAGAGCTCTGGAGCCTTAGGGCCACAGAGGCCGCCAGTCAGTAGCATGTCGGCGCAAGTCTGGTTGGCTCAGGCTTCCAAGCTATACGCGTGCAACACCACACTGCCATTCAAACTCTACGCAATGGTCGCCTGCGTCAGGATACGTCAGCTACAAAGGGCCTTATTGTGCGTTCCTTGGGCTGGGGTGGTGCAGCCTTTTGAATGTATTTCTTATAATGTCTTGGGAAGGGAGGGCGACGGGTGACGGATCGAAGTGGGGCCTGGAGATCTTCGCTGACGCTGACGGACCCGGGGACCAGGGTGCGTGTTTCTTTATTCAGGGGTCGTGGTTGATTGTTTGTATGCGGGCACCTGATGGCATCTTACTTAAGGCTCGAGGATGGCCGAAGGGGTTTTTAGGGCCTTTTATACGTACACCCTAGAATAATGGCCGTATTATGTCTCTTTACATCTTGTATACAGATTTAACTCCTGTACGTGTTTGGTGCACATTCTATTTACACACACGCATTTTGCCGTTGCATCTACATCGCTGCACAGTTTGTTTGAGGAAATTAGACGAACGGCCGCAAAACCCGGGACCACACACATGAATGTCGCACATCCAGGAGGCAGGGAACTATGTAGTCCTTAATCTTTATCCATAAGCGTCCGCCCCCTGCTCATGAAGGCAGCTACTGCGTCGCGCGCTAGGATTTAGCTTGTACTTATGCGAGAGAGAGGCACCACAACAATTCGATTGCGTGCGCATATAAACGTGTATGTACGATTTCGGCATTTACTTCTGAAGGAATTTTAGTTGGCCGAGTTGGCCGATCGAAAGTCAGTGTCCGTGGCTGCGTAGCGGTGCCCAGCTTAATTCCGTAGGGCTTGGAGTTTCATTCGTTTGCATCACAGAACAAGTTCCGTCGCTGTGCGCAGCTTGGCACACCATGGCCATTTGGTCCACCTTGCATGCATGCACGGTTTATGACAATAACCTTTAATTGTAATTATAAAACTTACCTTGGTCTGGGCACTGAGCGTTCTGGTCGCAACTGCCTTCGAAGTCAAACATATAGCCCGGTTCAATTGTTGATATGTTGTCGCTCCGTACCTGTCCGGATGGGAACAGTAGATCGTATACACGTTACAATTTCCGCACAAATGCGGGGGCCGTCCATAAAAGCCGGGGACCCCATGGTCGGTCAATAGCCATTATTGTATAAGGAAGTTGCACGGCAAAAGAGTATCCTAATGCGTTGGTTACGCGTCGTATGGGCGACGTGATCCTCCTCGCTTTCTACTTGAGACCAGAGCGCCAATCGAGCGCTTGCCGCCCTGGCCACGTTGAGGTCAGGGAAGTGTGGCGCTTGATGCCGTGACAGGTGTTGCTCGACTAGCCAGATTTTGCGCCCCAAGCGCCAAGACTACGGTACCAACAGCTGCCATGTGTAATGGGAAACCCATATGCCACTGAACTGAGATTGTCAAAGCTTTGTCTTTACAATTCACCGGGATGCAGCGGCAGTCCAATCAGACAGGAGTTTTTCCGGGGCGGATGAAATTCCCTCCGAGTAGCAGACTGCATTGACCTTGCCATGGTCCCGGAATGGCTTACACGGTAATGAGCCGCAACATTTTGAGCTCGACTTATGTCAGCGATTGATGTATGCTTCATGTGGAAATAGCTCTTCGGTGTGTCAAAGTCGTGTAAGAGCCGTGCCATTCCGCGCGGTGCCTACTACCCCTCTCCTTCCACAGAAGATGCCCGCCTGGCACCCCCGAGCTCTCTCAGCTTGAAAGAATTGTAAGGACTAATTCAAATGAAAGGATACGAAAATTTAGCAGTCTTCCTCACCATTTCGGTTACCATAGTGATTATGATTGGCCGCGTCGTCTGGAAGCCCTGTCCTGAAAGGATGCTGGTCCGACAACAGGGAATATGGAATAACCAAACCTTGAACCGAAACCGGTCGCTGTCCTGCCTAGCCGTCGCACCCTGCTTATCAACCATGTTAGCTACTGTTGGAGTAAAACAGGACGGTGAGGGAGGATGCCTTGGAAATAGTGACTGGGGGTACGAAATCGTACGAAATGCAATGTTGTACGACAGAAGTTATGGGCACTTAAAAGTCCACATGGGGTGCAGTGGGTGAAGGATTGCCCGGATTAGGCTGGTGTCAATCCATAGAGACAGCGTACATACTAATACTGCTTTAGGATTTGTTGCGCCTGCGGCTGGTAGTGTTCCACGCTCGCGGCCAGTTGTCCGGTGTCCCAAAGGCTATGGCGCTACCAGGCGAATACCAGCGATTACAAGGGGGGCGCTCATTTCATGAGCGGACGCCACATAGCTAACAGGCCCATATCCTCATAACTGCAGTAACCGTGCTTAGGGAATAAGCGCCCCTCCTTTCGGTGGGAAGATCACAGGCCGTGCTGGTGATGGCGTCTGGGATGGCAACATGGAAAGTGCAGTGGGGGTTGAGTGGGCAAATGGAAGGGCATGGCGGCCGGGCGAGTGGAAGGGTTGAAGGGGGTCGGAGAGCCCGTGGGCGGAACAGTTCGGCTGCGGTAGAACCAAAGGGCATTGGCCGGAGCTAGCGAGGGGGCCACTGGCGAGCAGCCAGTGATGGCCGGGCTGGGGGACTATGGGAGGCCTTTCGTGAGCGCTGTGATATGGAGCTGCCAGATTGGGAACTAACGAACCGTGGAGGGGCACAATCCTTGACTTTGCACATGCTTCCACTGTTTCTCATTTGGAAACCATGAGGAGTAGGAGAAGGAATTATACAGCCTTTTCCCGGAGAGGCTACATGATTGTATGGTGTGACGTATGTACGGCAGGGTGGGTGGGTGGGTCCGAGGGTACCTTTGAGAGAAATGCGGCTTAGGTTCTGAAGAATCATAATATTTATAAGCCCTCTGCTTTCACAGGAGAGTCTTCTTCCACACCGTTCAGTTACAGGCCGGATAGAGCTTGCCTGCCGTCCTAACTTATTTAGTTAGCCTAACTGACCAGTTTGGTTATTCGGAGCTTGGACATGAAAGCGTTGCACATTCCAAAGTGACTAAGTTGACCAACTATATATTCAATGTCCACTTGTGTAGACTCGGTGCAAGTGCGAAACTTGCTTGGAAGTTCACTGTTGCACTGCTGTATCTTTTGGCGACCTGCCGATATGTAATCACTACTACCATGCGCATCATCCAACCGTGTGATTACGCAGGGAGTTAAGGTTGGTTGAGTCCTGGGGCAACCGGTTCCGTCCTGGACCCGAGGTGGCCCCTTCTCTGCCTTGGCGAAGACATTGAGCTTTGCCCCCCCTTATACAGGTAAGCACATTACGCCCATCAGGGGGGAGTTGGCATACCAAGTAATGCATGCGGATGTACCCAAAGCTGTAACCACCTCATTGCTCATCGGTTGAAATTGGAATCCCAGGAAAAATTATAGGAGTGTACGGGTTGGGAAAGGATGTCTACTTGCTGTGAACGTTTGCTTACAACCACTGTTGGAGTCATCGCTATGAACGGCGTCGTGGAAATAAACTGGACCATCCACATTCCGCCGTTCTAAGCACTGTGAGGGGTATACATTTCTCCCCACTCGCACCCCCACGCTTCCCCATGCCCATGCTAATGCTTCCCCGCACCACGTCGAGTTTGCAAGGTTAACACGCAGTATCTCTTGGGTGACTGCACGCTAACATGTACCATATCCACCCGGCCTGCAACGGACACTTTGAATACGCTGAATTCGATAGAGAATGCCACCAATCGGTCAATGGAAGGCAGCATTTCCCGACATCAGTATAGCTGGTGTCGCCCAACGCAATTGCATATCCGACAACTATTTGTTCTTCCATACGCTGTAACTGCGTCGATCAAGGATCTTGGGACAGGCCCCTGCATTTTCACTTCACCGAAGTAACAACAATGGTAGCTAACCAGTCGGCAATCCAATCTCAAGGAAGCTACAAATGATCCAAACTCCGCCTTCTCAACCCTGCTGCTTAACCCTGCCCCAAGCTGCAGCCTGCTATTGCCCTGACCTTGGGGGTTACTGAAGGCACCCCAGGCCAATCTGCACCTAATCATTCGCTAATGTCCCTTTCACTGCTCGTCAGCTGATTGCTGCTACATACCTATGGGGCCAGTAGCTTGCTATAGCCCAACTCTTCACCGTCCAACCGCGCCCGGCAAACCATAATGCCATCGCAAAGGAATTAATTCTACAACAGGTCGCATAATGCCCAAGACACATTTACCGCTGTCCACAATACCACCTAAACAGGCAACACATCTGAAAGCTGGACGACTTCTCCCCGTCAAACTGATAGCCTAACAGTCAAAAGACTGTAGGCTTTACCCATTGCCCTATGCCCCCAGGACTATGCATAAATCTTGACGGGCTTCTCGTAGGTGTACCGGTTGTTGGAGGGCGGCTGCCGGCGCGCTGAGCTGCCGCCGCGGTCATCGTGCAGGATAATTACCATGAGTTTGGACGGGTCGACCAGCACCGCATCCGTGGCGCCTGCGGCTGCTGCTGCTGCCGCGGCTGGGGTATCGCACTGGCCCCTGTGGCCGGAGAAGTAGGTAGTAAGATCTTCGTGGTCATCAAGCCATGCATTATTGGGGCGTGTACCCACAAACAGCACGGGCCAGCGGCTGTACTCCTCGTGCGGCGTGCCAAGCAGTGCCTGGAGGAAGGTGGGGAAGGGCATACGTAAGGGAGAGCTAAAAGTAAGCCTACAAAGTCAGGAGCGTAACCCCTCAACACGTTTTCACCTCCAATGACAAGGGTATTGAATGGCCAGACAAATGCTTAATGTTGTCTCCCACTCCCCTAGGAAGCAATTTGCACCCAGTGCTCGCCTGGATCTTCGCACGGAGCTGGCCCATGGTCTCATGCGCCCGCACTCGGATGAGGAACGGATCTCCGAACCCCGCCCCGGGCATCTGCTCTAACAGTGCTTTTCTAAACGACCGGTAGCCGGGCGACCCATGGCTTGATGCTTCCTCATCCGAGTCCGCGTCGTCCGCGTCCATCGGCGCTACACCACCCGACGTCCCGCGGCCCTGGGGCCCCCCTTCCGCCGCCTCTGCGCTAGCCTGCTGCTGCTGACCATGCTGGTTCAGAGCTGCCCAATAGGCAGCCGCAGGCGGCGGCAACGGCGGAAGAAGCGCGTGCGCACAATGAACGATGAAGTCGCCGGCGCCCAGGCTGCTGGCAAGCTGGTCTTCCGGCACGAACTCTGCACGCAGCTGCCAGTAACTGTCATTGAGATGCTCAATCCTCTCGCCCGGATCGACCACCTGTAGTTCCATACAAGGAAGGATTCAGCGTACAGGGTATGCAGGGGACGATACCGACCCCAAGTTTCCATGAGTCAGTTAATCATAAGAAGCACGACTGCCTATGCTAAGATCCGCTACAGAAACTTGCTATGATAGTATGCGTTAGTTCATAATCGCCATACATGTGCGGCACGATCACTAACACCGTACAGCCGCAGGCGCGTTGCGAAAAGCATTGACTCCAGTAATATTTCCAAGTCTACCTTGAAAACTTTTGATTGTATTGTCTCTAGCAATCGCATCGATCGCCCCGCTGCCGCCATCGTCGCTGCCGCCTTTAACGCCGCTTCGTCCGTTGCCGCCTGGTTGCTCGCCCCCGCCGTTGCGGGAGGCGCCGTATTGCCTCCTTGGCTCATTCGCTCTGTCCCGGCAGATGATGACACTGACACGGCCGCCGCGCTGCTCTGGCTTGAGACCGTCGTTCCGGACTGCTGTAAGCGCCCCGCCAGCTCCGTCAGCAGGTCCGCAACAGAGGCCTCCTTCCGTAGCCGCAACGAGTGCTGCTCTCCCACGAACTCACCGCGCTCATTGTGGAATGAAACCTGCAACGTCCCATGAAACGCGCCGTATATGAAAAACTGCCATGCCATGTTGTGGAAAGAGGGAGCAATTCGCCAAGAAAAATCTGTGTGAAGGTTAAGAGGCAGGAGATAGACCAAATCCACGATAAGTGCCTCTCCCGACAGAGAAACAAATTGCGACTAAACGGCTCCCTGCCGTCTTCAAAATTGAATGAGGACAAATATGAGGGTACACGTGGATGGGCACGCGGATGGGTTCCGAACCTTAACGGTCTTCAGCTGCTCCATCTCGTGCAGCGGCAGATCCAACACCTCGTAATATATAATATCCGTTGGGTGCTGCTGGTGAGTCAGAAGCTGCTCCAGTGAGTTGACGGTGCGCCATTTAATTGGCGATCGCTGCGGCTGGTTGCTGAAGTAGTTGTGACGTGTGATTCGCAGTTTGGTTGGATCGTCCAGGCCCAGCGCGTTGGCCAAAGCAAGGCACATCTGAGAGGCGCGAAATACCAAGGGTCCAGCGTAAAAGGCAGCGGAACAAGCTCAACAAGGATTCCCTCAAAGCAGGACCGCCGGAACCAGGCCAATCCGTTCCTCTGATTACTGATTACGACTTCACGTCCCAGCTCGTTCCCAGGCTTGCACCGTTAAGAGTTTTGGAAGCGCACATCCGGCGCATGGCCACGGTATGCGCACCCCCTACCTCGTCATACGTCGTACTCCGCAGCAACTCCAACGTGACGACGGGCGGCGCCTGCGGCTCCTCTAGCCGCTTGAAGTGCACCTGTAGACGCCAAAAGTCAATCGCAAACATCAATGGCTTCAATTCCTAATGGTTGCCATGGCCCCTGCCATTTCATCGCATGCCTCTGCAAGCGCCCCCAAACCACCTTGCGTTCAGCCATCACGGCCTAGCCGTGCGTCAGCTGCGCCTGTACTTCAACGAACCCAAACCGGTGAATGATCACCGCTTCGCACCTGTCGGCGGTTGTGAATGTAGGCCAAATACTGGTCGGCCGTATGGTAGCGCACATTTTCTGCAGCGATCTCCTCCTTCGACAGCTTCCGCTGATAGATGATGACGTCACCGTGGTTTAGTCCCAGTTCCCTAAGCGTCTTGCTGCGCGGGCGGAGGTGCCACCGGTTTGTTGATATGTACGGCCTCGAAAATAAAACAAAACCTCAGGAGCTATGTCAAAGCCATGGCAAACCCCCAGTGGCTCGTTGGCCCACCGCCCCTTGCAACCCCTAACCGCCACCACCTGCCTGAAGTCGCACTGTGTCACCATGACGGTCGGCTCGAACTTGACCTCCTCAAACAGCAGCGTTGGTGTATCCGGGTTCAAACCCTCATCCTCAATCAAAAACTCGCCAATTTGAGCGGCCTTGACAGGGATTGCGAGGCCACGCAATGCGGCCGCCGCAGACACAAACGGCAGGGACTTCGTTACTTAGGTTATGGAAAAAAACAGGACGGGCTGTTTAAGGAGCCTTTACCCTGAATTGCCCAGTAATTGGCGAGATAACAGGGCAGGAAGTTCCACAGCAGAGGAAAATGAGCAACATGGTCGATGAACCCAATGAAGACCGCTTATTTGATCAAGACGACAGCGGGAGCATACACCGAATGCGCGTCCGGCCTACACCTAAAATCCAGTTGCGTACCGTGCCGTTCATGGGTAGCACGTGGTGACCCCGATACGCAATTGTCTCCGTAACCGGGTCGTAATACTTGAAGAAAAGCAGCACGTTATTGCCGCAGCTCGCTTCCCGCTGAACTGAGACGTCCGCTGGGTGCAGTGCGGAAAGCGGGGCATCAAGGACACAAATCTCTTAGTCAGTCAAAAAAAATTACCAGGGGCAACGTTTAACCAAGTCCATTGGAAGACCACCTCAGCAAAATGCCCGAGTGGCGAAGGTACGAAGAAAACGACGGGGCGGCTCACACGGAGACCCCAACTACAAGTACAAGAGATACCTGACACAGCGTGCAGAGGAGCCCTATCAAAGGACAAATACACTCCAAAGGGCATGAAGATGCTTTTGAAGCCTGTCCAGTCCATAAGCCTTGTCGGAGGCACCTGCAGCCCCGGCCTCAGCCCGAGCCTGGAAGCACTCGAGGCGTCCACCAGCAGGTGTCACTGCAACACGTCCACCTACCCCCATGCTCACCTTCCGGCGACTCCGGCAGCTCCTCTAGGTAAAGGCGGATGTCCATGAGCGACTTCTTAGCTCCCGCTGCCCCGTGCCCATCCCGTGGCAGGTCCCGGATGTCCTTCAGGTCCACCAGCTGACTGGCCTCCTCCGACTCCGTAAGCGGTCTGTCGGGGCGGCATGTACCGTTTGCCCGGCGCTTCCAGGTCCAGTAGCGCTGCCGCTCCGGAGGGATGCCTGTTCGTCTGGCGACCTACGGCGGTAACAGTTCCGGTGCATAAGGAAGGATAGACCACATCAGTATGAACGCGTCTTGGCGTATACCACCATAGATGAAAAACATTTGCGAAGTCTACGTCGTCTTGCAGCTCCCGCACTGTATGGCAGTGCAAACATAGGAATAAGTTGCGCAGCATGAATGCTCGGCTTGTCCACGCACCTCCTCCTTAAATTCCGAAAACTTCGTCTGCTTGCGCATGCGGTAGTGACAGCGCTCCGGTGGCAGACGGTCGTGGTCCACCAAATCGAAGTGGCTTACGTCACCCACCTGCGGGCAACAGCATAAGGGCAAGGGCCTGGCTGTGCGAGACAGAATTTCGCCATTGGACAGGGTAAGGGTTTCTAAAAATCTCGCGCCCACTCAGTCCCCATGTCCCGAAACATGTTGAACCCGGACGGCCTGGCCCAGGAGGTTTATTCGTCGGAATCGACATGCCCAGCGAGGAGGGCGCAGTAAGGCAGGGTAACGACTTTGCAATGACCGCATACAAATTTGTTCCCTTCGTTCCAGTCCAGGACGCGGACGTCTAAAGTTGCTGCTGGGCAATGCCAATTTCACCGCCCGACCTGCTGCTTGAAATCATCATCAGTCGCCACCTTGAGGCTGCAGTACAAGTGTGCCTCCATCTTGTCCCTATGCCGCGCCTCCTTGTCGCTCATCTCACGCTGCACGGGACAATTGGTGGCGTGTAGACCAAATTACGGATGCTTTGGGACACCGAGGCATGACGACGTCACAAGCAATCTTCAGAACGGCATGGTACGGTGGAGTGTTGTGCACGTTGCCCGAAGCCCCCTTACACAGGTCGCCATGGGCCCAACTGCTTATTGAGTGCCACAAGCCAGGTCCAGATACCGCATGACACAATGCAGGAAGCTAAAAATCGTAAGATTGCGGTGTGAAATCTTAACAAGCAGCCCGTGCACGAATGCTTGAACCGACATCCCGTGCACTAGACATGCAGCCCGCTGTGGGGCTCGGCAATTCACGCAGGTACACATGCGCGTGCATACCTCCAGCCTATCCAGCAAGTGCTTGGCGATATCGTCCTTGGTCACTTCACACATGATGGTAGGCCAGTCCGATTGGCGCACGTAGACGAGCATATAGGCGTTGGAAAACTTGGCATACTTCAGCGGCATGGGCTGCTGCTGGTATGGCATGGGGCCGGCCAAGTCCTCATCGCCGCCGCCTGTGAGAGGAACATTTGCCCAGTAGAAACATGTGGTGGAAAGTCGCCTTCCAGCTCGATGGTCAGAACAGCTTTATTGCAAGCTGTCGGCGCCCTTAGTGATATTAGTGCATTCCGAATTCAGGGAATACTTCTAATGGCCAGTTCTTCGATAACCTTACGGTGCAATATCTTTCAGAAAACAGTAACAAATTGCGTATACCTGACTCTCCTGGTCCAAATTAAGCTTTATCAATGAACAAAACGTCCACAGATGCACACTGTTACCCACCGAACTGTGCGTCTAGCGCCTGGCGCTGGTCCTCGCGGCTAACCCGGTCGTCATCGAAGCGCAACCACGTCTTGCCGTCCGGCCGGATAAAGCTGCGAGTAGCGCGGCAGCAGGACAACGACCGATTAGCAATCCAAGATGATCGGCAGAGCGCGCGTCCTTGGGAAGCCAGCTCGGAACGCAACCCCTGCAGCCCCTCCAAACCCTCGCGCAAAATGAACAAAATGTGCTCTGCCATATCGTCCCTTAACACAAAGGAGCCCAACATAGGATTGCTTTCACCCTTCTTGTGCCACTCACGCGTAGTAGTGCCCGCCGTGCACGCCACCGCTGTGCACCAGCACGCTGTGCAGCTTGTACAGGTTGCGTACGGAGCGGTCGGCGTTGGGCGCCAGGTACTTACCGCCATCGCGGTCTAGGTCCAGCTCGTCATAGAACTCATACCGGTCGTTAATCTGAGGGCATGAAAATAGGAGCCATTAATTACACAGGTATGCGCCAATGCCAAAAAGCAAACTGCCTCTGGGCTTTCCAACGCACTATGGGGAAAGAAATGCACTAGCAGTGGCGCATAATTGCACTGCACGCATGTCTTTCACCAACTGCCGCTCCGCAACAACCCCACATTACAACACTAAAAACAGGCAGAGGGCTTCGTTTGCACTTTAGATATAAGCCCCACTGTGTTCGTCCCGCACGTCATTCGTTACTCCTTTGTCCCGCAACGCCCAATCCAGCGGGCACAATAAGAGTCAGATTCACTTCTCTGGTCGGAACTTGCCTTGACCATGGCATCCCGTTGGCAGTCGTACTCAAAGCGCTTCAGCTGCAGCTGCAGCACAGGTGGAAAGTCCTCGAAAAGGATGCCCTTACGTGCGTCCTGCAACAGTTGCATGTGGACGATGATAACAGCGTCAGCAGAAACACATCCCGTTTCAAGGCGATTGGCTTCATCAGACAACTGCGACGATAGTGTGTACCTGCACAGGCCCTAGTCTGCCTCCTTGAGTGCCCTCCAAATGTCCAAAAATGCGCTCGCCTTGTAGCCCGCATAAGACCCTTCGTTTTAAATTCCCCACCCTAACTCACCTGCATACCATAGTCGTCAGTCTTATACTGGTTGGGCCCGTTGAGCACCTCCACCTCCGTGTACCTAAAGTTAGCGCACGGATGAGCGGATGGCGGACGGCATACGTTATTGACAGCGATGGATAGGGCTCATGGTACAATTCGACGGTATATCACATGCCACATGCAGCCGACGATGACGGCGCTAGCGAGGTACACGAATGAGATCTATAAAACAAACGAAACGTTTTCAGAATCGCTATATAAAAGTTGCCAGGATCAAGCGACAAGCCGCACCCAAGATCCATATGCTAAACGGTGGAGGGAACACAGGTGTATGTATGGATCCCGTTGAAAGCTGTAACAAGCGGCAGGTAAAACACTGCATAGCTCAAGAGCAGCGCCCCCGTAGATCACTCTCCACGCCCATCCCAAGGCCGGGTACCCACTTGTCAAAAGAGTCGTAAATGTTGCGGCAGCCCTTGACATCGAGCTGGAGGTCCATGAACGACTCCTTGCGCGTGCTCTTGTACGACACATTGATGCATTCGATAAAGCTGTAAGTGTGTCCCTCGAAAAGCTCGTTGATGGTCTTCTCGACCTTTGTGTTCTATTGTGGCGATGGGTAATAGACAATGCGAGATTTTGGTAACCGGGGCTCTTTTTGTTTTACAGGGCTAATGGGCAGTGCGATCCGTGAATCATGTGCTCTTTGGAAAGGGGATTAAAGGCAAAGGCTAGCGGTACATGCATGCCATGCGCAACACAGGCTAACCCACATTTGGTATGTATGCTTGCGCCTGTATGCCGGGCCTTTTCAGGGACAAGCCGGCCCGACGCCATCTTTGCGCCCTGACTACTAACGCTGAATGGTGGGGAAGGTCGTCATCATCTAGTATTTTGTCAAGAAGGCGCTGTCGTGCCCAGTGGTTGCGAAGTAGACGAACGCGGTCGACAAGTGTAACTTTCCTTATCCGTATGCATGCAATTTGTAACCAATTGGTTACAGACCGCATGAAAAAAAGTTCATGGATCTTGCCTGCTACACAGCCCTGGGTACCCTCCCCCAGCACCTCCCAACCTTCATCTTCTCTTCAAGCTTCTCACAAAGCACCCGATTCAGCTCCTGCACATCGTGCTGCATGAACGCATCGTACGTGTTCCAGCCAAAAGACTTGGTGAGCTCCTTTGTAGACACAGGCCCGCGCGCGTATTGGAGCTGCAGGCCCCAGGGGCGGATGAGGAGCACAGGATAGGGCCGACATCAGGGGCTAATGAATCTGCCAATAGTCCTTTGCTTAGGGCCGCCCTCTGCTTCGTGCTTATCATCGAGTGATGCAGGCAAATCATGGTTATGAAGAGGGTCCAGGGAAACGGAAACGCAACAGGCCCACTAGAGATATCACGACCAGGAACATGCACATACTTTCTGCCAACATGCGCATTCAGTGGCACGAGTGTAAAACATTCCGTAGCCATTTTGCCAAGATTTGCAAGCCTTCGCCACGCATCCACGGCTCAACCTCCATTCTGACGAGCATTGTGCTTGCGCTACTGTCAATCGCTGTTCAGACCTTGCCAACGATGACAGTTGCGACCGGACATAATTTGGCAAACGAACCTGTACGCCAAACCGTGCACGGGACGTCCCTCCCACCTACCCGGTAAAAAAGACTCTGCAGCGCCACCGGTAGCGATTTGCTGGGTTCCTCGTTCTCAGGCACCGGCATGTGGTACACCGCCTGGGGGCAAGTGCAGGCGGGGGCCATAACACCAACCTCAGCCCGTGCAGCTAAAGTAGCCGCTTGGCAGTCCCTCCCGTCATCGCTGCCGTCCCGAATGCGCTGGAAGCAATGCCGTGCACCACCACAACATTCTAGCCCGTACATAAGGGCAAGCTTGCGCATCGCCGTAGGCATGAGCTCCCGCAGGACATGCGGGCACTGCACTGCTCTTGCAGTACCATGCCTGGCTCAAGCAGGTGTAGCTACCCCGCTGCCACGCTTCTGCACCAGCCCTCACGGGCCTCATGGTAAGCCCCGGCACAGACGCTAGGACTGCCTCCCCATTGTAGTCGGATGGCGGAGCTGTACTGCAGAGGTGCCTATTCCTGCCTCTGTAGTAATCACGTTCGAGGAACCTACACCGCTGACAGCGGCCTCGCCCTTTTATACTCCCCCGAGCGCCTCAAAGATCGCTGCTACAGTGAGCGGCATTGGACGCGGTCTACCGAAGGACCTCTCCCCCTGGGAGCTTGCTCTCGGGCGTTAAGGCTTCAAGCATTTGTGGTAACCCTGCTTAGGTACCAACATGGTGCCCCCGGCCTGTGAAGGTCTAAGGTTTTTAAATCCAGTAGACCATGTATCTGGCGTAATGCTGAACGCGCAAGCAATAAATAGCGCAGATGCCAGGGTTTGCTCTTCCTTCCAGCAATGCAGCCGCTCCAACGTTGTTGAAAAGCCTACCGGTATGCTAGAGAAACAGCCGCCAATGAACCCTTAAAGGACAGGGCTTGCACCTTGAGCCAAGGCGTCTCTGATCATAACTTGCCCTCTGGGAACAGCTATAAAAATTAACTAAATAGTAGCCGTTATGACTGCCAAAGCGGCCAATGGTGCAACCACCAGAAGGCACAAGGGGATGATGAGACGATGCATCGACAAGTACCCCTTACCAGCGCAGTGCGGCACAACGTAAGCATTTCAGAGGACACCATTGCCGATATTCTCCTCAACCCCTCGAACTAAGCCCATCTCATGTCTGCACCCTGCACCTTCCTCACCTTGCGAAAAAACGGCAAGTTGTAGAGGTATTGCAGCAACGAATTCATGTAGCACGTCGCGCCCTGGTTCTTAAGCCCTACATAGCCAGTTTCAGTACGACTGTCGTACAGATACCGTTCATCCCGCTGGATTGTAATTTCCACGCGAACCACCATGGCGCCATCCTCGCGCAAATAGCCGCTGACAACGGAGATGTCCGTGAGCTGCAGCATCTGGCTGAATCCCCAGTCCACTTGATCCTGTGTGAATGTGTGGCTCGCCTCTGGAGCAAACGGCGTTCAGGATCACGCCAGTTAGTAGCTGCATAAGGGGCTGCGTGTGCAGCCGAGAGTTAAGCAAATCAGAAATGAAGGCGAAATGTACGCTGACAACTGCTGTATGGGCCCTCAAGCTTGCAAAGGGATGCCTAAAGGAGGGAGAGCTTCCCAATCCCAGCCACTGACCCAAACCCTGCCTTGCTGCAGTGACCCCGGGTGCTCAGCCAAAAGCCCTTCTCCAAGGTGACCTACCCTTGGTGAAATCCTTTGTTGAATCCTTGTGGTTTTTTATGAAAAGCTTGAAGGAAGCTTTAGGGCTGAGGTTCACGGGCGTGTAGTGCGCCTCCGGGTACTCCAAAAACAACGACACATGCCTCCACGGCTGCATATTTTGCCTCGGAAAGCACAACAACTTCCTGTTCATGTCCAAGGGGGTACGGTTGGCCTCCAAAACCAAATAGGCAGGTGCCCTTGCCCGGTAGCGTAACACGCACCATAGGTATGTACCAATCTCAAACGTCTCAGACGTTTGCTTGTCAGTGAGTTTAAGAAAGTTTCGCAGCTCCCACTGCAATATAAATCAGTGCAATTGAAGGCATAAACACAATAGAGCCACACTCGGAACGCCCAGTGAGTCGCACCTCATAGTGCCCGCTGTATTCTGCCTCCATGGGCTTTGCTGTATTGCCTGAAGCAACCGATGGTTCCTCGTTTACGGGCTGCACCTGAGGCCCACTCTCCTCAGCTGCATAAGGCAGGCCCGTTGGATTGAAGCAAGATCTTCCAACAGATGTATTCCCTGGCAACGCACCATCCATGTCGTCTCCAACCGGTTCATAAAGCTGTTGATCTTCGTCCATGATTCTATGCAGCCTATGTCAGTGGACGCCCCGACCAGGAAGATACTGGACTGAACTGCCTTTAGAATAGTGCATCAACGGCATGCCCAGTTTGCATGCAACAAAAATGATAGCCAGTGTAATTAGAAATTCTGTGTACAGGTCGTGTGAAGGAAGCTTCGTACACGGGCTCTTCCAAAAATACGGCATTGCCTACAGAACCAATCTTTGTAAACCCTTCTGGCAAACCCCTCTGAATATTACCAAGCCTGCTAGTCTGCCAGCTGTTGGAACGTTTCCGACAGCTTCGGAATACAATCCAAGCATGCACGGTGAACGCTTGCATAGTACAGCGTAGCTACCCTCAGGTTTCCTGGCCCCAGCGTGTTCCCGTGTGGTGCTCCAATAGCCCCTGCTGCGCGATGTCCGCAAATTCCGGTTGATGGGACGAAAACACGTATACTTACCTAAGTATCGTCTGCTTTGCGCCGAAAGGATTTAGCTGCACAAGATGAACTCATGCACTGTTTCTGCTTAATAGCAGTTACCATCCTTCTGCCGACTACAATTAATGGACAATCAAGAACGTTCAAGTCCAAAGTATACCATGGAAAAGAGTTGGCTACACACTTTACCTCGTTTTGCAACCACCCCAAACACCACGATTTTCGTCCCGGGGCAGCGGAGCTGTCCCAATTACGGCTAGACAGTCACCTGTCAGAATCATTCTGCACTGCATGTATCGTCGCCTTCCGATGATAGGTGCCGGGCAGTTTTGCTTATCTGTTCGGTGAGAGTTGGCTGGCACGCTGCTGAGGGCCTCCACAGTACTTGAAGCTGCGTGCATAAGCGCTGCTCCACAACAACTGTCCAAAGGCCGAAGCTTACAATGTTTCCAGCTCGCGGCTCGTGATGTCGGGAAGCAGTCAGCTAAGTCTGGTTCTAAGCGCCTAAATTATTGTAGGCCTAGTGAGGCCATCGATAGGTCTCCGTGTTGCCGATTCCTTTTTGCATTTCTACACTTTATCAACGCTACCTACAGTCTCTGTCTTCCACACGTCCCCATGCATCGCTACGACCCGCTGCACGCATCATCTCTGCATGATGACAAGATAATACATTTTTCGGCACTTCAGGCAAGCGCACTGGTCCGCCACAGCCTGTCGGACAGCAAAGCCATGAAAGTTAGTAAGCTCCAAGACCGGTCCACTAGCGACTGGACTGCATGAAGCCGGCAGCCCGGTAGGCCGCGGGGTCCTTAATGATGAGCCAGCTACAAGCCCGTGTCACGGCGGCGCTGCCCCCTCTAGGCCAAGCAAACTTTCCGCGTCGACGCAATCTCGACCAAAACACCTTGCTAGCGAGACAGTGATTCGCCTTACGGCATCAGCCTGCATGCAAATGTTGGATGGACGCCTTACTCAAGCGCAGGCGCTACCCATTGCTCAAACCCGTCCGGTCAAGGTTGCAGCTCCACTACAACCGCGCGGAGCCCTGCGCACCTCACCCACAGAGGCTACGGAAATCAGGCTCCTATGCGCCCTTGACATCCGTCCTGCGGCCCGCCGCCGTATTAATGCGAGTCTCACCCAAGTCAAGCACCCTCACAAAAATAGGCCCTCAAAGTACGCATCCATCTCCTCCTCTACGTTAACTGTCTCCTGCGCTGGCTTCAATTCCCAGACACTGTTATCTGCCGGCAGCGTAATGACCGCTGGTGCCCGCTGTGCACCCTCTGTCCCAGTCCCGCCCAAAGCATCAATGGCAACTCCAGAACCGCCGGCGCGGGCCGCCGTGGCGGCTGGCGGCGGAGCGACGTCACCCGTCGCCCGCTCAAAGTCCGCGGTACCAATGCCAGCCTCCGGGTTGAACGGCCCGGCCTCATCGCTGCCACCGTGCGCGTAGCGTTGCACGTACTCCAGGGCCTCCTGTACCAGCGGGTCGTTCGGCATCCGCTCTTCTAGCTCCTGCTCACGCTTGCGCTTGCGCGCCGCGGCGGCATCCGCTGCCTTCTGCAGCTGCTTTTCTTTTCGATAATTCAACTTGAAGGCGCAGGCAGGGCACAGACGGAGCTTGACCAGAGCCTGCTTGCGCTCACCAGCTTCCTGTTGAGCCGATGAGGGCAGGGCCAGGGATAAGGTGGGCGGAAAGCAGGAAATGTAAAGCGCAAGACACAACCTTGCCGGGCCCGCCTGTCGTGTCAGTTCCCAACAGCACGCTAGTAGGGTCTAATTCCGGTCATTCGGGAGAGAAATCAAAACTTTCACGTACTGGTATCCGCACATTATTAAACGCCAGAACGCGCCACGGAAGGGGGTGGCCATGTGTTTCAGGTCCTTACCACAAACCCACAAACCTAGCGGGCAATAGTGCAGAAGCTAATAATCCTGCTCACCTGGTACGCGAAGTTGACTTCATAGCTACACAGGCCTTCGCCCGCATCGCAGCCCTTTGCTCCGCACACGAACTGCCCCTTGCCTGACACGACCTCCTTTTGCGTCCGCCACCGCATGCCCAGCTTGCTCTGTTTGTAATAGGTCAGGTCCACGATGGCATACTCCTGCACGCAAACGCGTTGTGACGACAGAAGCGATAGCAGTACACGGTTGTTTAGCAAATATGTGCAGTGGAGTAATGTTTCGAAGGACGGAGTGGGTGCGGGGATTGCGGGGGTGTGCCATGTCAAGCCATGCGAGCACATCCTTCGGCCTTGCGCAGAAACAGTTCAAGGGAGCCAAGAGACCGTGCTTGGCGGGATTGACGAGTACAGAGGGCCCTTGATTTGCTTGCGCAAGACCTCCGGGCGGCCTCCTCGGCACACTTCAATTGTACTGCCTACTCGAATATGGCGTACGGCTACCTACCCCGCTACCCAAATGCCAGCTTTCTTTCAGTAATTTAGTCAAAATAAAACACAGATCGAATAACGCCGGCCGCCATTATCGTTGGCCACGTTAAGGCCACGCTGGCGACTTAAAGCGTACCGCACCTTAAAAAGCCGGTCATAATAGCGCTTTGCAAGTCGCGCCTCCCAGCTGCTACTCTCGTTGTCTGCATCGCTTCGTATAAAGCGATGATGTTCCCTCAAGGCGTCGGCATCCGTTCGAATACGTGCAGCATCGTTCTTCGTGGACGGTTCGTCCCTTCCGCAAGCGTAGTAAGTTAAGTAGTCGTTCACAAACTTTTTATGCCTCTCCGCCGCCGTCATTCCCATTAGGTTGCTCTGATAATACTGGGCGCTCTGGGCCCGAATGGTTGCAGCTCTCCGCACATCTCCAAGTTGCGCCATTCCTCAATTTGTGTTCACGTCCTTTGGGACTATGGGTTGCCATAAATCCACTACATGTTTCCCATGTTAATTGCAGTTAAATCGGTTAACCTGCACAGCTCAGGGCTTAAGGTCATGGAGCTTGGCCGCGTCACGTCGTGCTGCTATGTAAAGCGAATGCTGGAAGGCACTTATGAACTTAGTAGTTGTGTATAGACCGTCATTGGGGGTCATTTTCAGCATTGCCGTACATCAGTTGGTACGATACTATTAATTGATGTACGGCCCTGCGCGAAAGCCCGTATTAAAAGTCCTGCATCTGCATGGGCGTTCAGCAGTGCAGGCGATCATTACCTATTACCGAAGGGCTACCTTCCGAACGCTGCGACCTCCGTATCGACATATCACACAATCTTATCGTACCTGTATCTTTGTGCGTAATCGCATAAAAAAACCTCCTAACCAACTTGCCCCCCATGGAGCCCCACCATCTTTCACAAGCATGAAACGCTTCCTTATGGTATACAGAGCGCACGTAGCAAAACCCCGCCATGCATGTTATGCCCTCCATACGATACTTGGGATCTCCCACTGTAGATGCAGTATCCTGGCCCAATTCGTCCCCGCAAAATACTTGTCATCACAGTGCACGCTTACTACTGGGCTGCATTGGGCAGGTTCTTTCGAACTACCCGCTCGTCCATGAATTGGCAGATGGGTTGCACGCAATTCCCCTCATACCCGCTGCCTCCGACTCCGTCTGGAGTGCATGCCCATCTGTGCCAGGCCCGCTACCTTGCCCAATGCATTAACCCCGCTAGCCTCGAGTCGACCGTGGGCGTTCGCAAGCACTTCACGTAGCGTGAGGTCCGTTTCAGTGCCCCAGATGGCCAACGGGTGTGCCTCGGTGTTGAACACGAACTCGTCCAGAGGTATCTGCATAATCAGCCAGGACGCATGTTCATGCAGCTTTAGAAAGCCGTCTTTCAGGGCTGGTGCGCTTACAAACTTGCGCCTGCAGAGTAGATGCTCTCAATCGCAACACGTGCATCTTGTTTGTTTGTTTTTCACTTGCCAAACCTATGTTTTGCCGGAAAGGGTAAGATCCTCTCAAGGAGAACGTAAGCAAATTCGAAACTCACTTCAAGGGCATACAATTGCTGTGCCACCTTGCTACATGTAGCATATGATTACGGGCTGTCGCGCTACCAACAGGCCTCACCTCATCTGGGTCATCCGAGAAGAGTAGGTAGAAGTACTTCATGGTTTCAGCCATCCAGAACGACTCCATTTTGTTACCAACGGAGGGCGGCACGGTATCAACGTTGTTCAAGACCTGGTAGCCTCCCGTGCTCACGCGGCACCAGCGTTCATAAGCGCGGAACATATTCCAGCCCCACTCGCGATAGATTGGGTCGCCTAAATAGGGTCCAGAATGGGAAGGCAAGCAGCATTTACCCGAGGCGCATGGGGACACCAGAAGGTTAGGAGACATAAAAGGTTCCTTGGCCGCTTTCTTGTGTGCCGCGACATGGCTTGCCAACTCGTCACGCAAGGGAGAACAACGTGCAATTTCGTGCGCTCCACCCAAATCGCTCTGGGAAGGAAGGAGCAAGTCCCAAAAGCGGAAATCCAAATATGGAGAGATCGGCATGTTCGGCACTGAACCGTGAACCGTTTGGTACTGGATAGAATTGTAACACAAGATAAATGCTGCGTCGATCAATTTCGTCCGCTAGGATAGGTGCTGCCACACAGTTCCATAGCTTTCAATGGCCGCACCTGTCGCGCGCCACAGGTAGAACAGCGACTCCGCGACCTCCGGACGCAGGAAGTTCTCACGGCTCCTTGGCGCGAATGCGTACTTGGTCTTCCCAGCTGACCCTCCGTCCTGGAGCAGTATGCGTCCCTTGCCGCTGCTTTCTTGCTGGTTGCCGTTGCCCGTAGCTGTGGAGCCCGCCGTAAACGTCGTTCCGGTCTGAAACTGCCCAATCCCTTTATCTACGACTGGTTCCGGCGAGTAGCGTGGCACCAGAAGGACCGAGTCGAACGCCACACCAGTGGCTGTTTGATGGTACAGCTCGTAGCAAGCCTTCATAAGCTTGACGGCGACGGTCAGGTCATCGTCCTCATCTGGCGAGCTGGCCGTGTTAATCCCGTACATATGACCTGCATGGAAAAACCACAAATGACACGGTCGTTCGGCCGGGAGCAAGCTTTGAGACTGGACACATTTCGTGGCCACGATGGGGCGTCATCTTTACTCCCCTCGCAATGCCTTGCATTCACGTCATCCATACGCACATGTATGCTGTCCGCAAAATAGCATGCCATCTCGGAATGTGCTTGGTGCATCACTAAGGCCAAATCAAATGAACGGGGCGACGCACGTACCAAGGGCGATGGTTCCAGGAAGGAAGCAGGTAAGGTGCTCCAGGATATTCGATCTTGTACGCCCACCGTCATTCTCCGCTACTATCCAGACATCACCGATGTCCTCGCCCATCCACAGCTGCGTTAGCATATGCTTGCGCATGCCCCCAATGGCCTTCTTATACATATCGATGCACATCTGGAAAGGGAGGCCATCGGCATCACCGGCACGCAGGGGCATACGTCATGCGGCAAGGTGCCTGTGCGTAAGCTAGAAAACTGGTTTACCACAAGAAGTGCAACCCACTGCATAAAGATTCGCCAATAGATATCAAAATCTACAAAAGGCGTACAAAAAGGAAAGCATGGGCAGTTCCTTACCGAGTCGTTTTTGTTCATGATCCACTGTTTCAGCATGTATTCGTAAGCGCTATCCGCTGAGGCACCCATGGTGTAGTGGTTCCCGCTGCACCCGAGGCTGTCGCCGTTCAGGAAGGTGCAATAGAGGCCATCCAGGTCTTGCATGCTTGTAAGCTTCTGCCACGGGATCATTGCCGTGTCACGAAACTCGGGCCGCCCTGCACGAAAGCATCGCAGATGCAGGTAAGAGAGTTGCCGCCTGGACTTGTTGCCAGACCATCCATGCGGGTATCACGCTGAAACAGTACGCCATGGCAATGCACTTGGCCCCGAGCAACGAAGTGCCCTACGAGTCCCGAACGTACCGCCCAGAGACATTTGACTGGTCCAGTTCGCATAAAGGTTGCCTTTCGGAATGGGGTAGCGACTTAGGGCCTTGGCCAGACTGCGACCCATATGAAGCCCCACCTGAGAGCCGTGACACTGCGCTGAATTCCATGGACACTGTGGCAACCTCCGCCAAGCAGGTGCTACCAATGCCAAATTTGCCGCGAGGTTCCTCCGTGTCATGCACGCTGAAACGCGGCACTGGGAGCCCCGTTGTGGTGTTGAAGGCGGGCAGCAACCTGTGGACAACTCCGGGGTGGCACAGCAAACAGATGAACCGCTGAAAGCGACCACAATAACGGCTGTGGAAAGAGGTGAAGCAGCCGAATTAGCCAATCGCCGGCAGCCCGTTCACATCATGCTTTTGAAGCTGGAAAGCCGAAATGGCGGGCTACGCTCAAGCATAAGGACAGCACAGACCACTTTGCGCGCGAGGAACGCAGAACCTAGAAAGTCTGGCAAAGGACGCAGCCACAGTATGAGCTCGTGCACATCCGCACCTCTCAGCGAATTCCACAGCTTTCAGCAGGAAAAGCTCGTCGCCCCCGCTGTGATAGAAAGCCGCCACGAGGCCGCCAAGGATGCGGATGGTCGTCTCAAAAACCTATGTTACGCGACGGACGATTGAATGGCAAGGAGGCAAGCAGCTGAACACCAGGGAGGTAAATCACACGAAGAGAGACGCTTGCCGCGCTACTGCCCTTGGTGATGAAGGGAGACTATGACAGGAGCTACTGCAGAAGCCATGCCAGATGTGAACTCACCGAAACTTCTCCCTGGTTGAAGTTGAGGTGGTTGGCCACCCAGAAGCGCGCTTCCGCGTACTCCTCTAGCAGCCCCAAGATCTGAAGCGTATCCAGGCTGTCCACGATGGTAAGACCTAAGGCAAACCACTCCCTCGATGTGCGAGAGCCGGCGTTAAGCTCGTCGTGGCCCCACGCGTATTGCCTACAGATGGAACGAGATGCGAGGGCCAACTTCTGAAACCCCATAGAACAACGTCCGTGCAGATGCCGGTTTGCCGCACTGGAGGCCTTCAGATGACCAGGAAATCTAAGTAAGATTGTGACAACTCTAAACTGAACCCCGGGTTGGTTGCGACACGAGACTGGACAAGAGGCTTCAGTGCCACGAGCTGGTTATACCAAATACGTAACAGTCGGGCAGCAAGGACAGAGATTGGGAGTTCGAAGGGCGGCGGTTGCCAAATCCAATGTCTGGCTGGGGTTTTCCTCAATGCCTTGGGTCCAGAATGATCACTAGCACGGTTGCGGCGGCCAAAGCTGTGTTGGTTTCCCAAGGACCACACGTGCAAATTCGCGCACCTGTAGCCCTTCCACGTCCACCTGGCGGCCTCCCGGACCTTTTCCTTACGCAGAAGTGCGTCCGTTATGCATCCCAGTCCATCAACGCCGCACGTGTAATTACCGTCACAGATGCCCGACTGAGCGCATCGCGGGGAACGATCAACCGGGGGAAGTCTCCATATCCGATATTTTTGGCCCTTGTACGGGTGGTGTCTTAAGGGCCGTAATGGACTATGCTTCGGAGATTGCGATTGAGTTGCGGGTGGAGGGATGGGTGCTGGCGATGCGTGCTGTGGAGGATAGGACGTGTGTCGTGTCCGCGAATTGCCGCTGCCCAAACCCTCCAGATGCTGCTCTCTCCGCACGCTGATTGCTACGCGAGCTGGATGGAGAAAGAATACGACCCACACATACGTTGCAAGTGCGAAGCAGCCAAGGGCAAAAATATACAGCCGCGCACTCCTCGTGCTTAGCAAACGCTGCCAGGCCGTCCGCCCAGCCCTGTAAGGGGCTACAGACCGAGGATACATTCACAATGGTGTCGATCCCAGCGAGGTGAAGTGGGTACGCTATGCCGACGGTCCGTGCATCCTTCTTACGCCTGATCACTACTTTAACTTGAAAGGCACATCAGATACTCTTTTGGACAGACGAAATGTAGTGAGTCCGCATATGATCTTGGTAGTTTGAGACCGGCTTGCTTGGTGGAAAAAGTGAGCTCCGATAACAGCAACGCTAGTTGTGTCACTATATTTGCAGTTTCATATACCTGAATATATTTCTGTGATGTGAGCATGACCTTTGCTTGCAAGAAACGGCATCATACTGCTGCCGTGACTAATGTTGGATTTCACATAACAGCAGCATGCGAATAGAACACTAGGTTCACTATCTGTCAGTGTGTTAGTACTAGACATGCAAGATTATAACTATGTTCCCCATCCAACAGCTCCCAGGCGTGTTGACCGATAAAATCCGCAGCGGTGTGACTCTCAACTCTTTGCCTGAAGCAGTAGCGGAGCTTCTTGCAAATTCAATCGACTCTGGTGCTAAAAGTGTTACCGTCATATTTAATCCAAGGGCGCTGAACTTTGTCGTGGAGGACGATGGGCACGGCATTGCAAGCCTTGACGCTTTGGGGGTTCGGTACTGCACCTCCAAAATACGCAGCATGGCAGACCTCCGCAACGGTGTCCGGACCCTGGGCTTCCGGGGTGAGGCCATCAGCAGCTTGTTCAGCGTGGCCGAGGAAGTGTGCATAACGACTCGGGCACGTGGCACGTTCGTGACTCTTAGCAAGCAGGTGAAGTCCGGAGGCAGCCATGTACAAACAGGGCCGAGCACCGTGCAGCTTGCGCACTCAGGCACCACGGTGTCTGTAAAGAAGTTATTGTACAACCAGCCAGTCCGGCAGCGTCAGCTTGCGGGGCAGCACAGGTATGCCTGGCGTAAACCTGACCTAGGGAGAGCAATAAGCGTCCAGTGCTATTAGGCTGCGGTTGCCTGGCGTCCCGTGCTGGCGTGCTTGCCCTTTGGCAAGCCTCCTGACGATGAATAATCGCCCAACAAATACATGACAAGAGCACCCTCAGCTGATGCATCTGGCAAGGTCTCCTTCGGCGCTATCCGACCCATCAAAACTTCTCTGGGTTTCATTTTCTGTTCGCAGAGACACGGAAGCCAGTACCATCCAGGCCGTGCTCCGGATGGCGCTGCCGTTCGCCGACGTTGGTGTCACACTGCTGCGAGAACCTACTGGTCAGGTCTTACTCCATCTCCCCCAGGTAGAGCTTGTAAGCCAGTAGCGGCGTCCACGCGCGCAACCCCCCTGCATATTGTTACCTGCGCATGTGCCGCGCTTCCCCCTTGGCACAGACCTCGTCCTTGAGGGTGATGCCCTCGGGTTCTTGCCCTTGGATACCCCCCATGGGGTCCTTACTGCAGGGCCGCTGCGTCGCTGCCACATTCCTGCAGCTCGCCTCAGAGCAACTGACCTCTTTGCCTCTCCTAAGCGTTGCCGGCGACAAGGGCTACCGAGTGAGCGCCGTGCTGGGCAGTCTCACTGCAACCTGCCCGCACCGACACCACCAGTATATGTACGTCAACCGCCGCCATATGCGCAGTCTGCCACTAGCCGCGCTGTTGAACGACCATTTCCTGCGCGCATATCAGCGAGTGGGTCTCCAGTACACTGCTTTGGACCGGGCAATCGAGGACTCGGGCGACAGGGCTGCAGCTCCTGGGCCCGGTAGGAGCGGCAGCGGCAGTGTGAAGGCCTTCCCGGTCTTCCTGGTCTTGCTTGAGTGTCCTTACACGGATTACGACGTGACCACTGAACCGGACAAGTCGGATGTTGTATTCAAGCAGCTTTCCATCGTGCAGCAGTTACTTCGCGGGCTGGCGGAGGAGGCCTGGGGTCCGGCAGGGGCTCAAGGCCGAGAGCAGGACGCCTCGGGGACCGCGGGCGCCGTCCAGCAGCAGGGAGGCAGCAAACAGCAAGGCCTAACTACGGCGGGGCCTGGTGGCGCTGGCACCGAAGGAATGCACCGCATTGCGGCAACAGGGCACATGGGCGCCAGGAATGCAGCTGCACATGTGCAGGTCCCGCTTCGCGGGTTGTTCGAGCTGCAGGCAGCTTCCCACGCAGCCCACTTGGGGCAGTCACGGACGATGAGTCTGGCAGCTATGTTGACACCTGAGATAGAGCGTCCTGCACCAGAGGATCAATGCAAGCGAAGGGCTGTTCAAGTCAGTCGTTGTGATGTGGGTGGAAGCGATGCGCAGACCGCACACCCTACAGGGCTTGGGACTGGCAGGGAAGAGCGCGCATGCAAGGCCAGGCCGGGGACAGCAGACCCATCGTGTAACAGCAAGTGTCACCGGGTTGGCACCGCAGGCCCGGAGTTCCCTGTTACCGCTGATCCAGGTCCTTCCAGCTCTGGCGGCAACGCGTTGCATGGACACGCCTGGGAGGCATTGGGGCGAGCCGCTTTAATGCGTGAGCTCGATAATGCTGACATTGCGATTGGTTATTCCGTGGAAGGGGCGCAGCCTTATCCGGGGCGTCATAATTACAGTGCTGGTCGCAACGGGGATTCATGGGTCCCCGAGGCAGCGGGCACCCTTGGCGACTTTTCCAAACGCTTTAACGAGGCGCCCACGCACGATAACGGCCTAGTTCGCACTGCCGTTTTGGTTCAGCCGCGCTTGCCTGGAATTGGCGCCAACACCGAGTGGCGACATGTAGAAGCTTGTGTGCCCAGCTCGGGATTGACGCCCTTGCGACCGGACATATTCCCAGAAATTGGCTGGAGGAGCCGGAGTCCAACCCTCCTCAGCAGTCCGCTGCCCGATATCAGTCCGGGCCTTGGCAGCAGGGGCCAGACTACCGAGTGGTGTGGCCTCTCACTGGCAGTCGCCGGAGATAGCAGCATGGTCGGCATGGATGAGGCAAGAGCTTCCCAAATCTCTTCTGAACATGGTTTCTACAGGCCTCCAGGGACTAACCGAAGAGCTATGCCTAAATTTCCCTTAGTTGAGATGCTTCAAGATGTGTGCGACGGCAACGTGGGAGGACTGTCACCCATCGCTCGGGTACCAGTCCCTCTGTCACCGCTCATGGACAAAGCAGCCTGGGATGCGAGCGGCCGTGGTTGGGACTGCAGGGAGGAGCTCATCTGCCCGGAGGTGTGGTCAGCTGACGATACGGCAATTCTTCGACAGCCGTCACGAGGGCCTTACTCAAATGTCAGTCCTCTGAGTCCGCTCGCTCCAAAGATAACCGGCGGTAATCCGTTGGGTAACCCCAGGTGGGTCGGAGAGGACAACGGCTGCACGCTTGTGGTAGAGGATGGCCCAAGGAGTTTGGAACGCAGCGACTGCGTCGTCGACACATCGTGGGCGAGAGGACTCAGCCCCGATACCATTGACAGTATTGTGAATCTGCGGGTTCGGAAAAAGCAAGGGTATGACAGGAATTCCTGTGATGGACTGGCCGGCGCGGACGATAGCAGTGGCGCCCCCTGTGGTCTTGGATTGGACCACAGCTTAATTCCGCTCGATGGCATCCTCTCCAAGACTGTCAACGTGCGCGATATGTCAGGATCTGCACCAGCACAAATTGCGGCTTCCGTCACAGCGACCACGGCAGCGTACAATAAAGCCCGCGTGCCAGTCCTGGGCAAGAGAGGTACGGCTATGTGCTGTTTTGTAAACCCATAACTTTGGTACGTAGCGGCGCATTCTCTACAAGGCACGCTTTTTGCTGAGCGACGCAGTCCTAGCCGCTCACCTGTCCGTAATCGTAGACGCTTTAACTACAGGAATTATTTCCACCCTCAGGTGCTGCCTTGCAAGACTTGCTTTCGGATTTGGGTGACACCCCGGATGCAATTACTGCCGGGCCAAAGGCAGTCCACAAGTCACGCGGTGCTGGGTATCGCCTCAAGTCTGCATCCCCAGATCAGCGCGCATCGGGATCAGTGACCATTGATAGGCACCTCTCTGCAGGGCCTGAGCTGTCGGGTAAGGCGGCCACGGCGCCGCAGCAGCACGAAGCCGCAACAGCCGCGGCCATAGCGATCTCGGCTGTACCGAACAAGGCGTCGGGGGCCGGTACCTGCCTGCTGAATGAGGAAAAGCCCGTGCTAACAGCAGCTGTAACCGATCCATACAAAGCTGCTGCTGCGACACCGAGGCAGACATCCGTCGGAGGTCAGCACACCGGGCCGGTCATCGTTGGCATGGCCTTACCAACTTGCGACGAAAGCCGTGACGAGGAGGCAGACAAGGACGCGGAAGAATCTATATCGCCGCTGGCCCGCTTCCTTAACTTTGCTAACATTAGCAATGACCAAGGAGTCACGCCCCCGCCGTATCCCCTGTCCTCAAGGACTTGCGCTATCGTTGTCGACAGCAGCACTAACAGGGTCGTAAATGGGGCTGCTGTGGGACGGGAGACTGGCGTTCAGCCAGACAGCCGACCCCTTGAGATACCTGGCAGCCAAGCTGCCGCCCTCGCGGCGCCACCGGGAGTCTCCTCTTTGATGTCCTGCGGCTCCAACCCGGCCGGCAGTGTGGCCCCAGATGCAGGCGCCCTCGCGCAAGCTGACCAGGTGTCTACGGCCCGGCGTGCACCTAGCACACCCACCGGGCCATCTTGTGCCGCCAGTTCCCGCCAAGAGCGGCACTCTCCCATCTCGTTGGTGCAGTCTGCCCCCCCCCATAGCAAAAAGCAGGCCAAGTTTGCAAGGATCTATTGTGGTCTCGCTTTGTCGCTACATGCTCCCCCAGTGATTCCGGGTTTAACGAATTTTCCTAAGCTAGTAGCAACTGCTGTACCAGCAACAGCAAGCAACACAGCCATAGCCGGCAGGCCTGTCGCAACGGCGCCGGCCGACGGCGCACAGCAGCCACCAGAGGCTATTGTTTCCCACCGACGAAAATCGGCTGGTGCGAGCTGCACCGAGGCTATTCCCTCCGGCGACGTGGCTGCACCTGGCGCTGGCAACAGACTACGTTACGCAGCTTTACCGTGGGAATCATATACATCTCAACGTGTCCAAACTGAGGCATCATATGGAGGCGACAGAGAGCCTGACGAAGCCCCAGGTAGGCAGCATGTTGCTACCAGCGCTCAGGGTGCGGCTCGCCCCGTCTGCAACTTTGTCTGGACGATGAAACGCATCGTTACGGCGCCCACGCAGCAAGCGCAGGCGCTCTCCCACAAAGAGCGCAGCCTCCCACCACAACCAAATGTGCAACGCGCAGCAGAGCCAGATGCGGCCAAGGACGGGAAACGTACCGGCGAAGATGCCTGCAATTCCGCTGGCTCGCAGACCGGTATGGCAGCAGCCGTTGGCACCGACACGAAGATGGGGACCCTTTCCATGAGCAGCGGAAAAGGCAGTGCGGGGACAGCAGCTGGGTCAGGAGCGTCAGGCAGCAGTTGCGTGTTGCGTCCTGCCGACAGAAACGCTGGGCTAATAAAGCCGCGGCCGGAGACATGCACGATAGACCCAACATCTCTGGAAAGCTACTCACGCAGCAACACGGCCTGCGCTGTCAGCGGCAACAGCCGGACCCATGTAACCGCGAAGGTGCAGGAGTGCCTGACCATCGGCAGTGCTCGCCACAATCGGATATCGGGCAGCGTTATGGGCATTCTGCGAAAGCGGCCTCCGAGCAGCGTGGGCTGCACACCCAAACGTGTAAGGTTCCATCTGCCATCTGAAACAAATGAGACACCCGGGGACAGCGCAGGGCAGCCTCCTTGGCCAACAGAAGAACCGCGAAACCATAGCGATGGCAAGCCAGACACTGACGCAGTGGGGCGCATGGCTGTGCATGCGTCCGTGGAGCGTGAGAAGCAAGGAGTGCCGTGGAAACAATCGGTCGTGGGCCCAGGTGGCAACAGCGGCGGCGTCGCCACTGGCCACACCAGGAACGAAGATGAAGCCACGGCACTGGCGGCCAAGATGCTCCAAGGTCCAACAAAGGAAAATGCGACACTACCTCAACCTCCGCAAATGTCGAGCTTACAGCGGGAAGGAGCTGGGCCGCCAAGCGAGCTGCATCCTCCAGGGAAGCAGCAGCAACAGCAGCCGCATCATGGAGCACCCCCTGCATACCCACCCATAAGCCAAGCAGCGCCGCCACAGATGCACCAGCTGCCATTATCAGCACTTCAGGGCCCATGCCCTCTAGTGGTGGGGATCTCAACTTCAAGCCAATGCAAGCAGGCTCCGTTCCCGACCTTTAGCCATAATACAAGTCAGGTATTGTCACTGGAGCGGGATTTGCTCCATCTGGCTGCACCGGGTGAGCGCTTGGTGCCCTCGGATGTGTCCAGGTCGGTCATATCGGCGGCGTCAGGAGGCATTATGCGGCAGGTAGGTTACAGAGTTCACAGGGATAGGCATCTGGCCACGCACGGCTATCACATTTGGACACATTGGCCAGGAGCACTCAATCAACATGCACGACGATACGAGTTGTCATCGGTGATCTGCATGCCTTGTTCCTTATCCCATACTCTCGATCAGCTCTCACTGTGCCCGTCCGAACACGAGTCCATAAGGCGCAGACAGGAACCCCCTTGAGCAATGTGCGTTTCTGCGCCTGTGGTCATGCAACCTAACACGCTCTTCAGCCGTGCCCGCGAGGCATGGCAAGGAATGCTCCCTTCGCCAGTGCCAGCCCATATACGTGTTTTTTGGGCGAGGCCCCCGCATGATCATCCGGCTGCCCCGCGCAGGTGGACCGAAAATTCATTCCGGCCCTAGCCTCCAGCGGCACCCTCCTCATCCTCGACCAGCACGCAGCCCATGAGCGTGTGCGACTGGAGCAGCTCACGAAAGAGCTTAACGCCTGCTCCGCTGCTGCCCGCAGCCATGTGGCCGAACCAGGCACAAGATGTAGTGCAGAGACGGCGCATGTTGATGAGCTGCTGTATACACACCGTCTCACCGTACCAATTGAACTCCAACTGGCGACAGCCGAGGCTGCCACACTAGCCCGCCACGCGGACACAGTGGCTGCGTGGGGCTGGCGAACGCGACCTGCCGGCAGCAAGGAGATGCTGGTCAGAGGTGGTATTCGCGAGGGTAATAATGAACTTGGATGGAACGGTAATGGTAGTGGCCGATCAGCCAAAAGGCCAGCGGAGAGCCATGGGACGGCGATGCTGCTATCGCAGCAGCCGAAGGAACAGCAGCAGCTGGTGATTGATGGAAATGACAGCGTGCAGGTGCTAGTCTCCGTGCCGTCGATTTGCGGAACAACGCTGACCAACCCTACGGACCTGCGGGTGAGGTAATGGCCTGGACGGACGGGTGACAATGAGGTGGCCGTGACGTCCTCGAAGAGGTTTGGCTGCAGCGAGGCTGGGCTGAGCAAGCATGAGGCTCAAAACCAGCAAGAGCCCCAGGAGCAATTTGTATCAATGTTCAGGCAGCCTTCGGGCCCAACCCCAACACCCAACCTGCAATCTTCTTGCCAGACAGAAGAGCGTTAGTCACATTTCAGCACACAGGCGCGTTATGCATTTAGCTGCACACGCCGCAGTCCCTCAATCAGCAATCAACGAACTCCAACTGCATCAATTAGCCGCGCCTTCTGCTGCCACTTGCACATCCCTTCCCCCATATTGCCCTCCCGTGAACACCCCGCGCCCTACCTGGCACAGCTGTACCTCCATCAATTGGATGAGACCGGTGGCGCCGGCCTGCTGCCCCCAGCTGTTCTACGCGTGCTGCGTTCCAAGGCTTGCCGCACCGCAATCATGTTCGGCGACCACCTGACACCGGAACAGTGCACCATGCTGGTGGCGCAACTGCGCGACACGCGCTTATGGACGCAATGCGCACACGGGCGCCCGACAGTGGTGCCGCTCGTTGACCTTCCGACGCTGCACGCTGTACTGGCCCGCCGACGCGGCGCTGTGCAGTTCGGCGGCATGACACGCAACCCTGGAGGAAGGAACGGCAGCACTCGGAGGCGCCTTAATGCTGAAGCTCTGCGGGTAGCAATCCAGCGGGACGGAAGAAACAACGAGTCCTCACGGCGATGGCAGCGCGACGATGCTGCTGACGCCAGCAGCGCCATGGAGCAATAGCATCGTTGCCCAAGAAACATGTATTTACAGCGAAAAGATGGCGGACCGACTAGCCCGCAGAATCAGTGTGATAGGGTTGGTTGTGATGAACCTGTTTGTCTGTCAGGGTATGTGGGTTATGACGGAGCTGCATTTTGACGCAGCGACTAGGGCGCTTTCGTGCTGTATGCATCGAAGATGTACTGTCGTCCGCAGGCTGGGTGGCAGGTGGCGTCCGTTTTGGTTTCGTTTGAAGCCACAGGGCAGAGCTTTACGCACAAGAGGCAGCGCTGCATATAGCAGGATTGCACGTAGGTGTACACACGGGCTGTGGCCCCATGAGCACGGCACTAGCACTTGCACAGCTGGTAGGGCTCGTCTAAGTTTGTGGCGCTTATCGTGTACAATTATATTCAACCTAAGAAAGAGCCCGACTTCGTGTGCCCTCCCAGGAAACATTGGAGCTTTGCTTTTCTTATATATAACTTTTTTACAATTTTTACAAGGCTGGATGAAGAATAGCATCCTTGAATATGGGATCTGACAGCTGTTGTGCTTACGCACAGCAGTGTATTGTTTACATGTACATGATGAGTAGTGACCTGCAGGAGGTTTGTGCACTAAAGTTTTACGTACTCAGCTGCTGTCGCAACACCGAACTTACCGTGCGCACATTCGTGTAAAGCGCGTCGTATGATTGTTACCAAGGGTGTGCAAGAAGGGTGCGCCACGTGTTTTGCATGGACATTTGGATGGCAGTTGACAATATGTGTCATCGCAGGGAGCAGGGAGTTGACAGTGTCCCCGGCAGTGTGCAAATAACGGCT